ACCAACACCTTCAGACAACCAAACATACCCAAAACCATGTGAAAATATCACCAACACCTTGAGACAACCAAACATACCCAAAACCATGTGAAATATCACCAACACCTTGAGACAACCAAACATACCCAAAACCATGTGAAATATCACCAACACCTTGAGACAACCAAACATACCCAAAACCATGTGAAATATCACCAACACCTTGAGACAACCCAAACATACCCAAAACCATGTGAAATATCACCAACACCTTGAGACAACCAAACATACCCAAAACCATGTGAAATATCACCAACACCTTGAGACAACCAAACATACCCAAAACCATACACCAAAACCATGTGAAATATCACCCAAAACCATGTGAAATATCACCAACACCTTCAGACAACCCAACATACCCAAAACCATGTGAAATATCATCAACACCTTGAGACAACCAAACATACCCAAAACCATGTGAAATATCACCAACACCTTGAGACAACCAAACATACCCAAAACCTTGTGAAAATAGAAAATTACGAACATAGAAATATAAGTTGTACATCCACAGTTATCATAATAAAGTAACATGTCATAAGCTTCATAATAAGACCTTTTAAATTGTACATACGTTTTCCTGACATTATTTAATAAGAAATTACCTTACCCACTGTATGGGTCAAATTTGTAAGATTACACCTGTAGATCTTTTTAGGTCATGTTGAGTCTATCTCTTCATGTTCCCAGTAGTAGAAAATATGTATAGTCGTCATTTTGAGGTAATGTAGTGGACCTGGTATATACTATTAAAGAAAGGAACATTAAAGCACCCCTCCCTAACCAGCCAGATTTGAAGTCAGTATCGTGCTGCACTCCGTCACTTCTAATATGACTGATAGATACAGTAGCCGTCATATAGAGCAAGCGGATAGTAATCAACACAAATATGGAAACCCTGTATCCAAATTAAATGTACAGCTGCTCCATATCAATACAAGTCTTGATCACACACAGTCAACGTGCAAGGTTACATTAACAGGTTTGCAAGGGGAGTTGGTAAGCTGGTATGCCGGTATGCAATATTGCAGCAATGTTATTTATTTTATTTATTTATTTATTTATTTATTTATTTATTTATTTATTTATTTATTTATTTATTTATTTATTTATTTATTTATTTATTTATTTATTTATTTATTTATTTATTTATTTATTTATTTATTTATTTAATCATTCATTCATTCATCCATCCATCCATCTATCCATCCTTATTTATTTATTTAATCATTCATTCATTCATTCATTCACTCATTCACCCACCCACCCATCCATCCATCCATCCTTCTTTATTTATTATTTATATATTTATTTAGGGGGGAGTCGGAGTCGGAGGGGAAGGGGAAGCTGCAAACGTTGATTCTATCAGGTAAATCATCTGTTGCAGAAGCAGGAGTGCACTCTGCTGAGGAAGGACATATCGCCGATCCTGGACAAATGTATAAGGGAGATAATCCTGTTTCTACTCCGCCTCCTGACCGTTATTGTTGGGTTCTTCATCGTGTTGTTTCTAGTGGACATACTGTTGACACTGAAGTACGCCTTGGATGTGTTTGCAATGGAGGTAGATAGGAGTCCAGCCCTCAAAGATGTCCGTCCACCGTTAATGTTTCCGACCTTGAGGATTATCACAGCCTACATTAGGGACGTGCTATGACTCGCCATGTTGACATGTGAAACATTGAACACATAACTCATGTTCACATACGTGAAAACAGCCTACATGACATGTGAAACGTGGAACATAACACTCCTTTCCACATACGTGAAACAAGCCTACATGACAAGTGAAACTTGGAACATATAACACATTTCCACATGCGTGAAACCTAGCTACATGGCATGTGAAACGTGGAACCTAAAAATAACTCATTTCCACATGCGTGAAACATGCCTACATGACATGTGAAATGTGGAACATATAACTAATTTCCACATGCGTGAAACCTAGCTACATGGCATGTGAAACGTGGAACATATAACTCATTTCCACATACATGAAACACGCCTACATGACATGTGAAACGTGGAACTTATAAATAACTCATTTCCACATGCGTGAAACCTAGCTACATGGCATGTGAAACGTGGATCTTAAAAATAACTCATTTCCACATGCGTGAAACATGCCTACATGACATGTGAAATGTGGAACATATAACTAATTTCCACATGCGTGAAACCTAGCTACATGACATGTGAAACTTGGAACATATAACTCATTTCCACATACATGAAACACGCCTACATGACATGTGAAACGTGGAACATATAACTCCTGTCCACATACGTGAAACACGGCTATATGATATATGAAACGTGGAACTTATAAATAACTCATTACCACATGCGTGAAACACGCCTACATGACATGTGAAACATGGAACATATAACTCATTTCCACATACGTGAAACACGGCTATATGATATATGAAACGTGGAACATATAACTCCTTTCCACATACGTGAAACACGGCTACATGACATATGAAACGTGAAACACCAGAATATTAAGCAATATACAAGTACTTACAGAAGCATGTCAATATACCACTGAAGACATGCTAATTTACTAAAGTCATTTCCATTGGGAATTGGTACTACGCCTTTAGGCATTTTTCAGTTATGAACACATATGTGTACACGAGTCCTTCGCATGGATGATAAATACAGTGGTACGGTATAAGGTGTTCAGTAACCCATGCTTGTCGTAAGAGGTGACTAACGTGATCGGGTGGTCAGGCTTGCTGACTTGGTTGACACATGTCATCGTATCCTAATTGTGTAGAACGATGGTCATGCTGTTGATCACTGGATTGTCTGGTCCAGGTTCAATTATTTACAGACCGCCGCCATATAGCTGGAATATTGCTGAGTGCGGCGTAAACCTAAACTCACTCACTCATGATGTTGATCAGTGGGTTGTCTGGTCCAGGTTCGATTATTTACAGACCGCGGCCATATAGCTGGAATATTGCTGAGTGCGGCGTAAACCTAAACTCACTCACTCATGATGTTGATCAGTGGATTGTCTGGTCCAGGTTCGATTATTTACAGACCGCCGCCATATAGCTGGAATATTGCTGAGTGCGGCGTAAAACTAAACTCACTCACTCATGATGTTGATCAGTGGATTGTCTGGTCCAGACTCGATTATTTATGTTTCATTTTGATTTTACATTTCGACCGCCCGACAAGGTGCTTGGGAGAGAATGCCGCATACCAACAACTTAAGGTAGCCATGGACATATTCTATGCAATACACTGCACTGTGGCAAGCCGTTCTCATATTTAGTAAGAAATTCAAGATATCGTTAACTGTTTAAATATATCTGCATTCTAGTTAAAGATATGAATAATGTCCTAAAGATATCGGTAAATAATTGAGGATATCTTTAATTAATTTCTGATATCCAACTAGAATTACTGATATCTATGTTATAGAGATATCACGAAATATGTTTATGTGTTTAAGATATCAATAAAACAATTACGGTCATAGTGTACATAGTCAATTCAAGATATATTCAATTCCATTCAAAATATCTTTACAACAATTTAAGATATCAGTAATTTCTCAATACGTTATCTCATGAGATATCTGCAATTTATTTCAAGATATCAATAATTCAATTCAAGATGTCAGCAGTGTTTTTCAAGATATCATTAATATGCTTCATCATATCCTTAATTCATTTCACGATATCATGAATTCATGCAGATATCTATAATTTTCTCTATTCGAACCATCTTCAATTCAATTCAAGATATCTCTATTTTCATTCAAGATATTTTAAAAAGAATTTATGATGTCAATATTTCTTATAATGAATGTGAAAACGGTTTCCATATGCATGGGCCTAACTTGGCACTGTATGAAGCGCCATAAAATATATCACCCGGTGTACCGTGTGCCCTGTTTGTGCTGGGACCAAGTCCTAACACACATGTTCAAGACGTTTGTCAAATATTGCGTGATGCTACATTCTATTTTTGTTACGAAATATTATTTATGACTGATAATTCATTTTACAACTTTTGTTGAACAATTGTGACGTGTGGGTATATTGTGGGGTTTCAAATTGCTGACTGGAAACTATGACGGTAATCCTGGAGGTTGGTGGTGGTTATGATTGTCGTTGAAGTGTTTCATTACGCTGTGTGAATAAATGACTTGATTTAAATGGACTCTGTGAAATTGTATACCTGGGTCTTATGCCTGTACGAGTATGTGTGCCGTAAGTAAATTCAAGGAGAGCGCGCTCAAAGCATATTAATACGGACAGCATAATTTCTTCTTAGTGCTGTGTGCTGATTTCTGTTCTTCTCACCCATCTCTTATTAAAAGAGGGGCGGTGGGGTAGCCTAGTGGCTAAAGCGTTCGCTCGTCAGGCCGAAGACCCGGGTTCGATTCCCCACATGGATACAATGTGTGAAGCCCATTTCATGTGTCCCTCGTCGTGATATTGCTGGAATATTGCTAAAAGCGGCGTAAAACGTAATTAACTTCCTGAAAGACCTCAAATACATGACTCAGAAACACCAATACTTGGAGGAATATGTCAGGTCCCACAATTAAATATGACCCGTGAAGATCGCTGTAGAAATGATCTTCAGCAACCCGTGCCTGTCGTAAGAGGCGACTAACGGGATCGGGTGGTCAAGCTCGCTGACCTATTTGACACATGTCATCGCATCCGAGTTAAGTAGATCGATGCTCGTGCTGTTGATCACTGGATTGTCTGATCCGGACTCAATTATTTACAGACTGCCACCATATAGCTGGAATGTTGCTGAGTTGATTTATTGTCGGTTGGGGTTTTGGGAGAAATGCTTTGAAGGTTTTGCACAAATGAAATATTAATGTTGTTTATATAGTACTGTGGTGTACAGTAGTGTTCAGTCAAGACCTAATTCAGATTAATAGATTTAAGTATAAGAAAAAGAACACAATATAATGGTTTTAAATCAAACATTTAAAATTCAAAATGGTTGAAAACAACGTAACTGTGTCGGTTGAATTATTCCCTGTTCGGTTCCACTCTATGAACATAAATGACAATCGGCGGAGATGCTGTTTACATGGTATGGTACACAACAATAACGCGTATTTCTATTACACAACAATCAGCGTCAGGATGCTGAAGCATCTAAACAACGCCATGCTAATTTAGAAAAATAAAACTTTTGTGTATTTACAATTGGGCGTTCAATATCCTTGCATTCAAACGTAGTCTTGGCAAAAGGCCTTTAATCACAAGGGAGATAACTCGGTTAGGCGGCAACCAGAATCAAGACCAAACCGTGCAATTCCGGGAGAAGGTCCGTCTTTGTAGGTTACGGAAGGAAGTGAGTGGCGACAAATGTACGGTGAGGACGGTCCATGCATTGTTGATTGATTTCGTACGGGGGAGATCTTCTACAGGGGAGATCTTCTACAGGGAGAATCTTAAACAGGGGAGATCTTCTTGTCTCCTATGTCTTTTGTCAACACAATGGCTATTATGACCTGCACAATCTGAAACACATATTGGACGAAATACAGTAAAATTACAACACGTACATTGCTATAGTACACAAAGCTTCTGTAACAATGCACGAAGATGAGTCAGTAAGCCATTGTCACGGTGAACAGACCTAATGTCACGGTGCACAGAACTTGTCACGGTATACAGATCTAGTGTCACGGTGCACGAAGCTAGTGTCACGGTGTACACAGCTAGTGTCACGGTGCACGAAGCTAGTGTCACGGTGTACAGAGCGAATGTCACGGTGCACAGAGCTAGTGTCACAGTGTACAGAGCTAGTGTCACGGTGCACGAATCTAGTGTCATGGTGTACAGAGCTAGTGCACAGAGCTAGTGTCACGATGCACAGAGTTAGTATCACGATGCGCAGAGTTAGTATCACGGTGTACAGAGCTAGGGTCACGGTGTACAGAGCGAATGTCACGGTGTACAGAACGAATGTCACGGTGCACAGAGCTAGTGTCACTGTGAACAGAGCTAGTGTCACGGTGCACAGAGCTAGTGTCACGGTGTACAGAGCTAGTGTCACGATGTACAGAGCGAATGCCACGGTGCACAGAGCGAATGTCACGGTGTACAGAGCAAGTGTCACGGTGTACAGAGCTAGTGTCACGGTGTACAGAGCTAGTGTCACGGTGACAGAGCTAGTGTCACGGTGTACAGATCTAGTGTCACGGTGTACAGAGCTAGTGTCACGGTGTACAGATCTAGTGTCACGGTGCACGGAGCTAGTGTCACGGTGCACAGAGCTAGTGTCACGGTGCACAGAGCTAGTGTCACGGTGTACAGAGCGAATGTCACGGTGCACAGAGCTAGTGTCACGGTGCACAGAGCTAGTGTCACGGTGTACAGAGCTAGTGTCACGGTGTACAGAGCTAGTGTCACGATGTACAGAGCGAATGCCACGGTGCACAGAGCGAATGTCACGGTGAACAGAGCTAGAATCATGGTGTACAGAGCTAGTGTCACGGTGTACAGAGCTAGTGTCATGGTGTACAGAGCTAGTGTCACGGTGTACAGAGCAAGTGTCATGGTGTACAGAGCGAATGCCACAGTGCACAGAGCGAATGTCACGGTGAACAGAGCTAGTGTAATGGTGTACAGAGCTAGTGTCACGGTGTACAGAGCTAGTGTCATGGTGTACAGAGCTAGTGTCAGGGTGTACAGAGCTAGTGTCACTATGAACAGAGCTAGTGTCACGGTGCACAGAGCTAGTGGACGAGAGCTAGTATCCGGCCCACAGAGTAGTATTCACGATCCAACGAGTAGCTTTCACGATGCACAGAGCTACTGTCACGGTGCACGAAGCTAATGTCACGCATTATAGCTAAAATGGATAGAATTATCATGAAAAAGCCCACATGCTATCAGAAATGAGAGGGCCACTGTAAATTGATAATGCCCCCAAGTTGCTTGACGACGGGCCATTATCACGCCCATTGTTTGGTGACGTCGTAAGTAGCTCAGCTCTTGATGTTTAATCACCTACGATTCGTTTGAACTTGGGTTCAACATTGACAATATTTCTAACTCACATTCGTCACATGTAACTCCTATTGTAAATATATATATAGTTAGCGCCATGAGCAACCACTTGGTGCCATGATGCACATTCTTGCCGGTGAGAACCTCAACAATTGTACCATAAATTACAACATGCAGCAACGAAAACATCGACTTGAACTCTAACGTTGTTGAGCACTGAAAAAATGATGGCGGGTAGTATGGGCAAAGGTCAAGGTCACGCTCAATATATTGACGTCATCTGTTTTGTTCAATGACGTTTCCATATTTGTAAAAAGTGGGTTAGCGACATCCGTCGTTTGTTGTTAGCAGTAATGCTTCGAAACCGATACCGTTGTTTGTTTTTAGTTTACTAAAAATTCTATCCATTTTATCTATAATAAAGGAAAAGCTATTTTTCAGGGCATTATCATTTGCAGGAGACCTCGGTCTTTTCACCTGCCCGACGAAGGATGAAAATGAAAGACCTCGGGCTAGAACTGCAAATGATAAAGCCCTGAAAAAATAGCGTTACCCTTATAATGATTACTGTCATGGTTTTCTGTCCTCGGGGAGATGTATGTTACCTACCAGCAGCAGGACAACGCCCACCAGGCCCAGGATTGTCCAGGGTTGCTGATCGTTGATTAAGTTCAGCAGCTTCTTGTAGCAGCCCTGAGACAGAGGAACAATACAAACACATAAGGGGCGGTGTGGTAGCCTAGTGGTTAAAGCGTTGGCTCGTCACGCGGAAGACCCGGGTTCGAATCCCCACAATGTGTGAAGCCTATTTCCGGTGCCCCCGCCGTGATGTTGCTGGAATATTGCTAAAAGCGGCGTAAAACCAAACTCAGTCAGACAAACACAAAAAGAAACAAAACCTGCCTGGGTAGTAGCAGCTGGCATGACGTTCACTTTGAGGACTGGTTTACCGTTAAGGTCGCGGTGGGGTAGCCTAGAGGTTAAAGAATTCGATTCCCCACATGGGTATAATGTGTGAAGCCCTTTTCTGGTGTCAATCGCCGTGATATTGCTGGAATATGCTAAAAGCGGCATGAGGCTAAAACTCACTCTCTCACACTGTACACATGTTCGTGCGCTGCCCCAAATTTGTCCGTTGCATGTCAACTCATGTAGTGATACAGATGGATGTTTTTAAACGTGTGACTGAGTGAGTATGGTTTTATGCCGCTTTTAACAATATTCCAGCAATATCACGGCGGGGAACACCAGAAATGTGCTTTACACAATGAACCCATGTGGGGAATCGAACCCGGGTCTTCGGCGTAACGAGCGAACGCTATAACCACTAGGCTACCCCACCGTCTCCTATCTGGAAAGGTTGTATTGGGTAATATAACGCATAGCTGTGTTATACTATATCATCTGCATGTGTTTTATGTCGCCTTCAGCAATATTCCAGCAATAGCACGGCGGACATCACACATTGTGCACCATGTGGGATATCAAACCCGGGTCTTCGGCGTGACGAGAGAACGCTTTTAACACTAGGCTTCCTCGCCGCCTTTGTACGCATAGAACTTTTAGCTAATTTTGTAAAGCTTACATATCTTGTAATTTTACGCAAATATGAAAATATCTGGCTAGCTATTCTCGAAACGTTCGTAGCACTACGAACTTGTTACGCCCATTCTTAACACACTGGCTACGATCCAACACAAGAATTCTTAGGGCTACGAACGTTTCGAGAATAAGGGCCCTGGAGCCCCATAATTCCTTGTATTGCCGAGGATGATCTGACCTCTGTGTGTATTCTGTTGGAGGTGAAGGGTCGTTGAGTGCACTCGTCCAACCTCTGGTCCTTCAGATAGGCTTCAGTGCAACAAGCAGGAGAGGCCTGCAGTGTGAAGGTGTTACCTTCGTAGGTGTACTTGGTCCATGGCGCGCTGTCGTTGAAGTCGTCGGGGCCTCCCATCGCACAACACTGCATCTGAAGATGAAGCAAGCAGCTGGGAGAGTAGGGACAGTTAAAGTGACATTACTGATTAGGCCTACTGTCATTCAATTGATTTTACTAGCGTTTCAGTTACTGTTATGTAGCTTCATTACATGATCATCTAATCATCCATCATTGACGGTTTATTTATAATAAAGCACTCTTCCTGAGTTATGGTTGGGAAGTAAGCTTCCTATTGGTATGGAGAGAAGTAAGCACCGAGACCGCGCCTCGGTCTTACTTCTCCCCACCCTCCGGTCTCTTGGTCTTACTTTCCCAACCATAACCTCGGAGTCGTGCTTTATCCTACATAAAGTTGGTTGGGTTGTTGTTTAACGCTGCACTCAGCAATATCCCTGCTACATGGCGGCGGTCTGTAAATATTGGGATCTGTAGACAATACAGTGATCAACAGCATGAGCATCGTTCTACGCAATTGGGAAACGGTGACTTGTGTCAACCAAGTCAGCGAGCCTGACCACCCGATCCCGTTAGTCGCCCGGATCTTCTCGGCTTTGACGGGAATGTACAATTGTGTGTGAATACGCTATCCCAATACGTACAGAGTATGGAGGTGTCTGTAAATGTTATCTTTAAGTGGAATTTAGTGGCTGGTATGATGAAGAGGAACGCATTTTATGGATAGACAACTTCTTTATTGCAATAGATGCAACGTTTCAGTGTAGATCTGACATCCTTATCAAGCAAATGTTTGAATGTTTGAAAATTCTATATTTATATTGGTTGTTAAACAGTTTTAAATAGACTGGGCTATTCAACAGCATTCTGTTTGGACTCAGCTCTGCACCTTGACAAAGCTCCAGAATATCGTGACACGTTGCAGCCCGCATTGCACCCTAACATCTAAAAAGATCTGTACATAACCCTGTCCTAAAGTCTCTTCACTGGTTGCCCATCCAAGCCAGAATCGTGACACAAGCTCTTGACCATTTGTGTTCCAATGTCTACATGACCTAGCGCCTCAGCTACCTCTCCGAACTCATCTCAGTGTACGCACCACCGACAGCTGAGATCACACCAACAGTTCCTCCTAACTGTGCACCCCTGTCCATCTCAAGAACTACTGGTCACAGATCATTCAGCTATGCTGCTCCTTCACTGTGGAACAGTCTTCCCATAACCATCAAAACAGCAAAATCTCTTGACTTATTCAAATCTCATTGAAGACCCATCTTTTCAGGAAATATTACGAATGACTTGTACAATTGCTGCAGTTTTTAGCTGTACACACGGGACGCCATGAGCATACACTAGTGTGTGGAAACGGCGCCATTAAGTGGACATTATTATTATTATTAAATAATATTTTTTAACAAGGATGTATTATACACTTGTGTGAATGTACATCTTGAAGGGTCACAGTGGTACAATATTGCATGAATGTAAAAATGGCATCCTTATTTTCCACGGAAGGCTTTTTATATACTGCTGAGGTACACTGATGTATATTTGTGTGTCGGCGAAGATTTTGACGGAAGAACTGGTACAAATACTGATTTTACAGAGAATGATATTTTGGCGTAAACAGAAGGTACCGATCGCGATAGTAGATTAGGTGAGCTTCTGTCGGATATTTCTGCAATGAAAAGGTATTCAGTAGGCAAGTGTGTGAATAGTTTTGGAAAACGTTCACTCAATTTATGCATAGTTTTCAATATTCATATGATCAATGAAAGATGGTGATCAGGGTGTTGAAGATTTTATATTCATTAGACATAATCGGGTAAGCTTAATTGATTATGTAATATGCTCGCCGGAGCTCTTGCAACACTGTGTCAGATGTAGAATCATCGCACCTTCCACTTGTTTTATAGTACTCACGGAAATAGAAATCACATGTTTTTTGGCGTGTGTTTGTTTATTTTTTCATTAAAATAGGTAGTTGTAACTAATTTTAAAATGTTTTTTCCCAACTTGGCCTTTTGTTACTGCTGCACGCATGCGCTTGGCCTTTTGTGTTACTGCACACGCATGCGCATAGACACGCTGACGCACACACCCATAAGCACACACACGCACATACAGACAAACATATATATTTATACAAACACAATTACATGAACGCACACGTACACACATACAGCATGCACACTCACAAACACACACAAACACAAATATAGACTCACACTCATGCGCACACATACACATACAATCACACGCAGATACACTCACTGGCGCACGCACATACGCTAACATGCACACATACATTGCACGCACACACCACATTAACACCCATGCTCACAAGCGCACATAGATTAACACATATACACGCGTGCATGCACACGCACACCAGCATAAACCCACAGACACACATTATCGGAAACGTATTTATGCACAAACGCATACACACGCACACTCACGCACATACAAATACACACACATACATACACACACAAAAACCCACATACACAACATACACATGCGCCCACGCACTTTCACACGTAATATACTAAGAGCTACTCACTGAGTAGGAGAGGATGTTGATGGCGAGGGTGAAGATGTCGCTGCTGTCGGGGCCCTTGTAGTCGTCGTGGACACGTTGCTGTAGCTGTGCCTTGATGCTGGCGTGCAGCTGGAATGAGTGAGTGAATAACTGCGTGAGTGAGTGATTGAGGTGAGTGAGTGAGTGAGTTAGCCAGTGAGTGAGTGAGTGAGTTAGCCAGTGAGTTAGTAAGTGAGTGAGTTAGCCAGTGAGTTTTAACTCCGAGTCATGAAGCTGAAGTCAACATGTTTGTACTGTCTTAAGTTGTTCCTCAAGACATTCGCATATTAAGTCAAACATGTATGAAGTCACAGCATTAATTCATGGGCTAAGAGGTTAATCACACAAAATAATCTGAAGAGTGTTGACTCTCCTGTTAATTCCCTCCACAGCCATATAACACTCCAGCACCACATGTAGACTTACCCCCCGGGGTTTGCACAGTAGGAAGCGATCATGTTACAACCATTGCTGTCTGTGGGGCTAAGTCAACAAGATGACATTACCGTCAAACCCTGAATATACCAGCATGGGCTTGACTAACACTGACGCCAAGACGTCAAGGGGCGTGCAAATATTCTATTTTAATACCTTTTCAGAATTTATGAACCACTTACCCGCATACAACACACAAACCAACTGTGACGGTGAATTGGAGAGAATGTGTGTTTGTAATCGACGATAAACTTCGTGTATTGCAGCGAATATTTCGCACATGTGTATATACACTTCAAATCAGTGGAATGAGTGAATGAATGAATGAATGGATGGATGGATGGATGGATGAATGGATAGATGGTGGATGAATGATGGACTGACTGACTGACTGAGTTTAGTTTTACGCCGCTTTTAGCAATATTCCAGCAACATCACGGCGGGGGGACACCTGAAATGGGGATTTCACACATTGTACCCATGTGGGGATTCGAACCCGGGTCTTCAGCGGGATGAATGATGGATGGATGGATGGTTGGATGGATGGATGGATGAATGAATGAACTCTAGCATCCTCGTCGATGATGTCGTGGATCAACATGCTGCTTACTGTACCTGGCATAAGTACAGCTAATTAACCAGGGATTTATGCGACGCACAAATATAGAGAATGGAGGAGGGACACACAAATACCGACAGCGTCATGGACGACGGACGCCCAAACTTTACGAGATACGGGGACGACCATGTCAGACAGTTTTCAAAGGGCAATTTCTTTAGGATGAGACAAAACTTTAGTGCGAGTTAAATGCTAAGGGAACCTTAACGAAATGCGCTTGTTTGTTAACATAACACCTGTATCATTTGAACTATATATTATCCGACAATCCATGTTATACAAATATGAATATATCTTGTTTTACTAGTTCCCGATTATACTCTCAAATAACTGGTATTGGTACATGAAAGATAAATAACAAATTATTTTAAATCAGGTAAAAGGTTTTGTTTCGTACATGGAGAAAACGCTTACTCTTAATGAGGAAAGTAAATGTGTGTCAGCCCGGGAAAGCCACATTTGAAAACTACCAATTGCCGCTAAAGCCACATTTAAAACTCAAACCACGGAGCCGCGAAAGGCACAGTGAGTAAGGGAATCAATACTGTATTTTCAAATAAGCGTCATCCATTGATCGCAAGGGATTGAAGGGCCACTGATCCAGAGCGATTAATGTTTCTCGCCAACAGTCTTATTACGAAACCAAACTGCAGGCTGGTCGGTACCTGCTCAGTCGACCGTGACGGGCACGGGGACTGGGCTACGGTCCACCTTTTTGCAGAATGTCTTCAACCTCAGCAGTGGAACATGAGGATGGGTGGAAGCCCGTTATTAGAAAAAAATCCCTGTAGTTCTTGTCTGACTGTAATAAAGAATCCCAGCAGTGTAAACATTTTCAGATTTTCTAATGCCTTGATGGTATGGTGTACCCCCCACTGTGCCGACTTCTTAAAACAACAAAATGCAGTCACCCGTAGAACAATAGGGGGTGGTACGACGTAAATTGTAATAAAAACGCAAATTGTAATACTTGCAGCAAATTGTAATAAACTTGACGTAAATTGTAATAAAAACGTAAATTGTAATAAAAATTGACGTAAATTGTAATACGCACATTTCTGGTGTCCCCCCCGCCGTGATGTTGCTGGAATATTGCTAAAAGCGGCGTAAAACCAAACTCAGTCAGTCAGTCAGTAATACGCAAATTGTAATAAAAATTGACGTAAATTGTAATAATTTTCGTTGCGGTAAAATGTAATAAATGTTTACGTAAATTGTAATAACAGTTTTAATCACTCGTAAATACGCGGGTGTTTGTTTTTCGTTGCATTTCATACATCAAATAAGCTTGTTAGGGCGATAACTCAAGAAAGAAATGATGGATTTTGTTCAAATTTGGTACCAAGGTATATTGGCGAGATTCACCGACACAAGTGAAATGGAGTGACCTTGAGATAATTATCAAGGTCACAGCAAAAATCTGAGGGTTTTGCCAATATAAAGATTGTTAGCGCGATAACCCAAGAATGAAAGACAAATATTAGCTAAATGATGAAAATGATATTCGTCCTGATATATAATCGATATAAACTGTCCTCTTTATCATGTCTTTTCGCAAATATCTTTTGAGGTTTTGATATGTATACATATAAAGTGGGGGTGGGCTAGGGATGGGTTTCTAACGGGTATATCTAACACACTTGCATGCATGTAGAGTCGGAGAGGTGGGTGGGTGTTCTAACGGGTATAACTACGAGGGACGTTCATAAACGTCTTTTCTGTTGCTGGAATTGAAGTAAGTCCCACACAGAGCTGGGATCATATGTCTTTGAAATATAAATTATGCAAACGGCTGGAACCTTGTGTTCCAATACAAAACGTTCGTAACGCTACGACATTCCCATGCCTATGATAAACTATAGAGTTGGCCTCAACCATTGACTGGATTACATTCTCTTCGTCAGCAGAGAAATTTCGACTTCTCTTTTTCTTTGGGGTGCAGGCGTTTCCATTATTGGTAAACCGGAAGTAAACAGAAAACGGAACTATGGGATATATGGAAGCTAACCAGTGACGTTAACCACACTGTTAAACTTTGACGGCGACGTTAGCTAACGGCATGACTAACCATGTTTTGAACAACGCATATTTAACGTTCGGTTACCTAACGGCCGGTTAAGGATTTAACCGGCCGTTAGGAGTTAACCGGCGGTTAAGACAACCGAGTATTGAACAACCGGGCCCAGATAGATAGTTAGTTAACCAACTAAGTACGTTTCCACGAACACCATCATTTTCTAATTTGTGCTTGTTTGAAATACCCATAATGCCCTTGCACGATCTCATGAACAGTTACTGTCGATAGTCATCATGACTCCATGCTTTACATATGTTAACATCAGTATAACTGTGCATAAAACTGTGTTGTTTACAGTAACATTGCGCTTTTGCAGAGATTCACATGTGATGTAAATGAACAATTTATATGATTTAGATAAATATGATAATTGTCGCTCATGAAGTTGTCAATGCCTCCCTTCACGTCTTCAGTCAGTGACACGCACCGCCAGATGTTAACGGTGAACGCGCTGCGAATGTTGTGAAGCACGTGCACGTGAGTGTGTGGGATGCACGAGCAGTGTATCTGTGCTCTACATGCTATGTAACGGTTCTGTCTACTACAGACAGACAACACGTACTTATAATAGATCGCCCATACAAGTAAACTGTGAGCTTCCTCCGATGATAACGAATCCCAACTTGATTTTTATGCATACTATGATTTTGCTTGCTTGGTTCCTCATTTCATTAAAATGCACACACGAATACACATTTGTTTGCATCTCTAACCAGGTGTAATCTTGAATACGAGTGGACGTTGCTTAGCATAGCAGGAAGGGGAAATAATATCGGTCTGTGACTGTGATACAGACTGGGACAAGGTATGGAAAACCAACAATTTGGACAACAGACCATTGTTAGGGTCTTTTAATTGTAAATATGATTCAAATAGCTTAACCTAGATTTCGATATCCTGAAACTGGAAAATATACATTTATCCCGAGACAATGTTTACATATAATTCAAAGGTATGACAGCACGAGTATCCATTTTGTCTTTTGTCTTCTACTCGTCCCTACTAGATGAACAACTGGTCTCTGAAATGAACATATTTTACAGAAAAAAAGTTCATAGTACAAAAGAGAAATATAATAAAAAGGAGCCCTGAGACATTCTCCTGAATCTGTGGAAATCTAGACTTGCCACATTTTCTAGACTTGCGTGGACTTGGATATATTTGCTTCAGGGTCTGTATGACGTCCCTACGTCCCTAGATACGCTCAATCACAAGTGTCTCCAGGTCACGGAGAATCATTGGTGTAGGGGCTCGTATTGCAATTCTCGTGCGTTTGCATGTGTTGTTGACGCGGCATTGACGCCTTGTAACATCACTATTTGATTATGATTGACAAACACATGCTCATGATATGGTCGGAATCATGCCACGGATTAGCAGATATTTATCATGAAAACAGGTTTTTATGTAGGTGGCTTGAAACTTGCTTTTACAAAGGCCAATAGATTCGATCACAATACTTTTCGTTTTACAACTTCTTTTCTCTTAACATGCTGACCTCAAAACTGATTTAAATCTAATCGCTGATTAAAGAGTAAGACAATAAATAGTATGCCAAATTATCGTTACCATGACAACCCTGTGATATTTCACCTTATGTAAGAGAGTAATAAATACGATGCTAGGTATGGCAGTACTACTGCAGCTGATAGTGTCTGTCGTAAATTTTAATAAGTTGCTTCAACGCTATCACTAATCACTGGGTATGTATATAATTATATGTGTGATGGAGGAGATCTTGCGTCGCTAGTTTTCTCAACAATCTGAATACATGTATATAGCGTGAAACCGGCAGATACCTATAGAAGAAAGTGTTTGCACTACCTGTAACAACGATGTCCCTTGTATATAGAAGGGATATAATATGGGGATGAATGGCATGTACTTTTATCTTGACCCGTTTATGAAGATAAATACTGCGATCTTTCAAAATAATCTCTCTGGCTATCAGATTGAGGGTACTTTTTAAACATAACTGGTATTTCAATTATTGTATTTATACAGTAACATTCTTCAAACGTTCTCCACATACGTCCGTCAGATACATCGCACACTACCCCTTTCTCTTTTGATCTCTCAAACGACTGTTACAAGTTCGAAGAATCCTGGTCAAAGTTGAAACGTCTTAAGACTATTCCCTGCTATTCTATAACATGCACATTGTACCTAAAATGGGTAGAGCTTCCGTTCGGGGGAATATCAGAAGGACAGCGATATACTTGTCTCCAATGTTGTAGAAGACACTCCACTTACTTAGGAAAACAATAACCCAATGAGATATTGCATTCATGTCGGATTCAATGTTTTCGGCCCCTATCAGATGTGAACTTGAACATGCAAGGTCTGCGTCTTTGTCAGACTAAAGGTCTACGAGTTGTTTAGCAGCACTGGGGCGTAATAGTCATATAGGCCTGCTCCAAACAACGGAATATATATCTTTTGAGAAGGACTTCTCCGACGGGTAAAGGTACAGCAATGCAACATTACGAAAAATCTTTTTTTTTCACTACTTTTCATTTCATGTCTCACAGAATATATAATTTGAAGGGCGAGAGTTTTTAATATCGTTCTAACTTAGTCGAATTAAGTCAAAATGAGCTACAATTTGTGTCATGATGCTTATAAACATACACTCATTCATTAACAACCTCCAAACCATGAATTCTGGGCGAAATTAAACATTTTCGCCCATGGGCCAACATATTTTTCGCCCATGGGCGAGATTTTTTAATATCGCCCTAAGATAGTATAATTAAGTCAAAATGAGTTGAATTTTGTGTCATGATGCTTATAAACATACACTCATTCATTTACAACCTCCAAAACATGAATTCTGAGCAAAATTAAACATTCTCGCCCATGGGCGAGCGAGTTTATATCTAAAGTTTCGCAAAAAATCTTTTTCATTTTTTCATCCTTGGCATATATTCAAAACAACTGCATGTTTAATTTGGTCAAATCACATGTCAGAAAGTACCCACAGTGCGGAGAGTTTCTTGACTTTTGTGAGTCCAGAATTAAATTGTGACGTGTTAATGACATTTGTTATATTGTTAACACAGCGATGGCTAACAGGTGGCAAAGTCTTGCCGCCATCAGTAACATTTGAAACAGATGCAAAATATTCATTTAATGTTTGAGCTTTATCCAAATCTGTAAAAACTGAAGGTATCCCAGAATCATCAGTGACAAGAAGGGGAGTGGGCCCCGATGAAGTACTAACCACCTGATTGAGTAGACTGAGGGTGATAAATAGTTATCAAAATTAGAATAAAAGTTTCCCTTGGCTATTTTTTTCAGATTATTTACTTTATTCCTTTGCTTTTTGTATTTAAATAGCTCAGAAGTATTCAGAGATCGAAATGCTTTTTCTTTAGACGTTCTCATTTCTTTTAAGTATGTTACGAGGGGCGTTGAAAAAGTAGTCAAACTAACTATATTCTCGATGTCCAATGTTTGAAAAGAAGCTTCCATTTTATTTTGAAGGAATCATTAGCAAAGTCATATCCAAAATTTCATGTGGGTAATGTGGTTAACGAGATATTAGTCATCACAACATTGGGATATTATGTTTCTTGCAAATTTGCAGAAAATGGAAAACGATCTCCCATTTGGTATCTAGTAATAGTAATAGTCCGCTTATATGGCGCTCACATCCAGGCACATTGCCTGCTCACGGCGCTACGTACGTTACTATCCCCGATCATAGGACACTATCGTAGTTTCCGATACTTTTTGAACTCCCTGGGGACTGAACAGCCATGCTGCCTGTTAGGCGCAATGAACTAAACACTCACATTGCCAGCACATACTCACGGGTACCCATTTTACAGTTGGGTGAACTGAGACAGTGTAGATCTAAGTATCTTGTCCAAGGATACTACGCAAATGTGCCCATCTCGGGAACCGAACCTCGGTGCCTCCCCGAAACAGGGCCTTCGGCGTGATAGGCAGACGCCTTACAACTGCACTATTGCGCTATCTCTAGGATAATGGTATATACCCTCAGATAGTATCATATAAAATATGTTCAGCATAGTATTGGATGACTTCCCGTCATCATCAACATTCAAAGATTTGGATTGCTTGATTTACATTTAGACGGGGACTGTTTTTTTTAGAACACCCTCATTTTAAATTTTCAAAAACGTTGTGTCCAGATATACAACATATTGAGAGCTGACACTTGTGTGACCATTCAGTATTTAGTTTGAACCCTTGACACCATGTATGAATAAGTGAAAGCTTTAGGATGAGTTATATCCTTATGATGACGTCAACTGAAAGGGGGTGGGTAGTGTCTCCAAAACAAGCCCTTTCAGTAAACATGAAGGGAGAGTCACTTGAACAAGCGATTATAGTTTAAAATTGCTTTATTGTGCAGTTTAATATCTAAGTTTGACTTTTACCAACATACAACATGTTTTTTGCATATTTTGTTTCAATATGCATCAATTTTGGCCAATCAGCAGGCCGGGCGCGCAGTGTGGATTTGTCAGACTTATTTCGGGGTCAAACGATGCATCCGAAGCGATGTGCTTCTGAATTATGCACCATTTACACTCTCGCTATATTTATTACATATTGCTGCGATTTGATGTATTACCTTAACAAAACCATTACGGTCAAGACGAAAAGCAAAATGGAGGCGGATCAAGAAACGCAATAGGCCTAACGATCAGTTAAATGTCTGCACCATCGTTCAGGGAAACCTACGTCTGCCTGCTGATGAGAATTTGCACGAATTTCCACACTTTTGCACATGTGCAAAATCATTTACCAATTGATGACAACAAATAGCGGTTTAAGACTTTGCAGAAGTGTTATAAACACGGACGGGTTCTTGTAACTACAAAATTGTTTTGCTTAACGTTTTTAGTCACTACTAGGCATTGAGTTGGTACGCCATAAAAGCTCAAATGAGACGAGGCGTAGAAAGCCGTGACACAATGTAAACAAATCTTTATTTCGGTTAGGGTCAACCGAAATAGCAAAAACTTGTTACATGAAAGAAGAACTATGTGGCGGATATTGTCCCCTTCGCTCTTAGATATTTCTCAACAATTTGTCACACATTTTAGGATGTTTTAAGTTTCATAAGCACAATCTGAAGGCCTACAGTATCTTAGTTAATAAGAGCAAAATATTCGAGGAGTAATATTTTTTTATTCAAAACGGAAATATTGTCGAGTGTCAGCAGCTTGCCTATCATACAATATCCAAGTATCAAAAGCAAGTTCATATGAGTGCCTATAAAACCATGCTTTAAATATTTCTAGATTTTTTTATAAAGAGTTGCATGGGACTTTAGAACTGAATTACCTTCCTCCATAGGTTGATTGAATACGAAAACTATGTGAGAAGAATAGTGACTTTCTGGAGTATTGGACGGAGTGAAATAAAGTGTTTATCTTAATTATGAGTACATTACTGCAGTATTTGAAGTTTTGTTGCTACATAAATTTATTCACATATAATGGTACATTTTAGGAGTAATATTACAACTGTAATTTTTGATTAATTCACTGGAAATGATAGCAATGTATGTTTTAAGAATCTTGCTTTTTATAAGCGATGGAAGGGGTAATAAAATTAATAATAATCCTAATCAATAATCAATAATAAATAATTATTTAATTGATTGACATATCAGATTTTTTTAGATTTTAAGGCAGAACTAGGCAAACAAACACCATACATATCCTGGCAGGACAATCACTTTCTAGTATTAACTTGGCTCCTGCTTTTACATGTTTTTAAAATACTACATTTACTAATAAGATAATTCACAGAAAGTGATTGCTTTCGTATCATAACTCATTAAAGTTATTTCAACATCCAGAAAATTTGAAAACAAACGCTACGTTTTGATCAAACCCTGGTCAGGCATTATCCAGTCCTGGAACAGAATAACTTACAAAAATCACAGGTGACTTTTTCATGTAACGGAATAAAGATTGAAACATATATGTAACCCATATTTGATGTAATTCTTCGGATAAATCATAACGTTTTTAGGAGGTTACTAATATTTGAAGACTGAGCCAAAGCTAGTGTTTATTAAGATGGTGGATGTGGACAAATTGTTCAAGGTTTGTTGATGATTATTTGCAAAATGAGCTTCATATTAAATTGCACACTGGTTTTGTAGGAGGTGAACGCTTCAGGACATTTTCATGTCTGTTTTCCCTAAACCTTTGTTATGACTTTTACCAAATTTTGAATCAACTTTACTATACTTTTTATGACACCAGTAAAGTATCTCAGCAGAAGGAAATAGATCAAAATCAGTGTTATGTCCTCTAGGGATGTAATCTCGGATCTAATAAAACAAAGATTATCATTGTTCAATTAAGAAGCAATAATGTCAATATGTAATTGTATTGACAGAAGGCTTTTGAACATAAGATATATTCTTCGGCACCTTATTTACACTAGTAGTTAGCAGTTAAACATCTCTGATGAAAAAACAATAGATCTACATTTGTATTTTGTGTACCATTCTATTTCAATGCTAGTTAATTGTTCGGATAACTGTGGATTCTCTGTTCCATTTGCATCACATGTTTCCTATTTCTGGAAGATGGGTCAGCTAGTGTACAGGTGCAGACTGTATCTTGGATCTTCTTTGTGTTCTGGTGCTGTGACATACCTGTACATAAACGCTGGCAGTTCATGAAGTCCAGTATTATGGAAGTTTGTATGTAAATTAGGATTCCACAACAAAGAAATTACATATAGAAAAAATAAATGGAAATGATGATTAAAAACGATTTCCTTATATTCAGTGTCATTTTATCATGGTGTACAGATTTTGAAGAGAAACTCTACTGAGAGTTGCTGCAGATCAGCTGTTGAATATTTGCTTCTGGGTATGTCCAGATACGTCCATGGAAACATACTGTTTACAAGCCCAATTAACTTTTCAGATTTCCAAATTAGATCAAATAGATATTGGTGTAGGGGATTCCCGCCAATACACATTGATATAATATTGGATCAAAATCTATTAATTCTTTCCTAAGTTCGCGGCTACCAAGCTTGGCATGTGCAAAACTGTTACACCTTCGCTGTGACCTGTAAAATGACCTCAAGGTCACTAAATTCAAGTGGTGTCGGTAAATTTCGTCAAAATAAACCTTGGTACCAAATCTGAACAAAATCCATCATTTCTTTCTCGAGTTCTTTCAGTAAACCGAAGGGGGAGTCATTTGAACAAGCGATTGTAGTTTCAAATTGCCTTTTTGTGCAGTTTAATATTTAAGTTGATTCTAGCCGACCTTTACCAATCTCAAACATACAAAAATGTTTCTTGCATATTTTGTTTCCTGAAGTTTAATTTGTGATGCATTTCATTGCTAGTCAGCTAGGCTATTCCATTTGTCCGAACCACAACATACGGAGACAGATCATTTAGCAGACCGGGTGCTGTACTCTGGAATTGATTACCTGAAATGTCAGAAAATCGGAAAATATCAACAGTTTCCGATCTTGTCGCAAAACCATCCTCTTCAAACGAGCATTCGACTAAGCGCACATGAGCAGGACTCTGGATATGTAGCGCTATACAAATGTCTAATTTGATTTGATTTGATTTGATATACCCGTTAGAAACCCACCCCACCCCATCCCACTTTATATTTATACATATCAAAACCTCAAAAGATATTTGCGAAAAGACATGATACAGAGGACAGTCAGAGATTTTATATCGATTATATATCAGGACGAATTATCATTTTCGTCATTTGGCTAACATTTGTCAATTCTTTCTTGGGTTATCGCGCTAACAATCTTTATATTGGCAAAACCCTCAGATTTTGCTGTGACCTTGAAAATTATCTCAAGGTCACTCCATTCACTTTGTCGGTGAATCTCGCCAATATACCTTGGTACCAAGTTTGAACAAAATCCATCATTTCTTTCTTGAGTTATTGCCCTAACAAGCTTATTTGATGTATGAAATGCAACGAAAAACAAACACCCGCGTATTTACGAGTGATTAAAACTGTTATTACAATTTACCGCAACGAAAATTATTACAATTTACGTCAATTTTTATTACAATTTGCGTATTACAATTTACGTCAATTTTTATTACAATTTACGTTTGTATTACAATTTACGTCGTAACAGGGGAATTAGTTATAGGTTTTTTTCAAGGTAAGTCTGGTGACACCATGACCACAAGTCTGAACAAATTGGTGAACACTAACACTTGTCTCAGTCATGTATATATTACAGGGAATGTGTGAAACCATGGTCTTGACACCTCTTCAGTCATTTCACGTAATGCCTGACCATGATTTTGAGTCATTTCGTGTAATGACTGGAATTTTCAGTCATTACACGTATAGCCTAGTGCTCACAGGCACTTCACGAAATGACTGATTCATTTAGTCATTACACGAAATGACTGATTCCTTTAGTCATTACACCGCGTCATACCAAAAGACGTTAAAAATGGTACTTGTTGGTCCCTGCCTGGATTCGGCTTTAGTCATTAGTCGGCAGTCAGTAAATGACTGAGTTACACATATTGACTGTAGTGGGCTACATATATGATAAAACATATGAGCGAGATATTCTCCCGACGTTAAACCCATCATTCATCATCATTGCTAATGCTCAAGTTGACGTTCAGTACATTGATAATGCACAGGGTGAAGATACGGGAGATGCTGTGTCAAACACTGCCGAGCGACACCGAATATGAAGGGGGAAGTATAGAGATGTTAACAGTAGATTTCTCACCCTGAAAGATGATCTCCAGCATGGAAGAAAATCTGTTCTGCAATACCTTGATTGTGTCTCTCATTTAACTGCATTGTGAATTGACAATTAATGGTTGTGTCAGAAAATGAACATGTAAAATACTGAAAAAAAGACTGGTGATTCCAGATATGTTGATGACATGTCATACATGTTACTCATACTGATGTTTCTTAAGATGCACATCACTTGTATTTTAATAAATTATTTTTTCAAACTCATTACACTTAATAATGTCTTGCTGAGTTAATGTCAATTACATCCTTTGAACATAGAGATTTTTTCTGGGTTACATCTTCTTTTTATAAAAGAATTAATGTCTATGTTCATCAAATATCTTCTTCTAAAATGCCAGTTCATGAATTAAGTACGTAATTTATGACTTAAGAGTTAAGTAGACTATACTATATCCCACTGCCCTCTATCCTGATACAGACTATACCCTAATCCTCTGTTGTTTCAACACTGCCTATATCCAAAAGTGGGCACGGTGGGAGTAAACCGATGGTATCATAACTGATCCAATTTGATCCTATAAAATTCTGTGTTTTTTTACCTAAGTATTCAATCATGTGATGTAAAAATATGATGTTTATTAGCTATGGTATGATATTAAAAACACACATTTGATGTACATGTATTTGAATCCGTAAACTAAACAACCCCACCTTGCCACTGCTAGAACAATCTGAAAATTTACTTAGGTAAATAGGTATATACAGCAAATGCGTATATATGTATTTCTTCCGCAACAATGTAGTTGCGTTCGTATCCTCAAAACAGTGTCGACCCATAAGGTTTTGTCAGGAAATCAAAATTGCATGCAATACAGCGATTGCTACTCCCTTTCTGTAACCCGTGTTTGGTGGTAAACCTACACGTTATTTGCCATCATTCACTTGATGGTTAATGAATTTATAACAGGTATAATTAGTAGTAACACCACTCAGATTACCCGACAAAGGTTCCCATTTGGCATTTCTCGTATCTGGAGTAAATACTCAGCATTATAAATTAAGGTCTGATGTGGCAAATGTATTACATGTTATGTACTATGCGCATGGAAGTGCAGCAAGAGGGATTATCAGCGGAGTTACAAAAACGAAAATTGCTCTGGATCAGTGCCCCTTTAAGTGATCGTGTGAATGTGGCTCTCAAGGCAATGCGCTATTAGCTAATCCATGTTACCGTAATCCAGAGCCTTTTCCGTGGACTGGTTGTTGCTTTTGTTATTGGTTTTCTCCCGTGAGTACATGGATGATATGATTTAGGCCCTTTAACCAAGCCCATTGCCGGTTGAGCGACACCATTTTCAACTCTGTTTTTCTTAAATGTGGCCGGGCTATAACCTGATGATTCAATGTATATTTGTCATAAATTTAGGGATCATGTTTTAAATTGTTTCATTAAATATGTATGGTATATAAAAGATATGTCATTTTCCTAACCTTTTTGTTTATTATCATCACGATGAATAGTAGTTGTATAACCCGCTGTATACCATGACATGCACATCGCCACGGCACAGCGCGACCACCTACTCGAGGAAAGGACCACCTCCCCCGGTACAAGACCACCTACCTGTGAGTCTGTGGCAAGGAACAGTCCACCTACAGTCGCTACAGCTAGGATCAGCAGAATCATGCAGACACAGTACTGTGAACAGAGTTCATACGTCATACATTCCAGCTGAAACACCTGCATCAGTTGTATATTGCAGGGATGTGAAGTACTGCACCGAGAACAGTGTATATAACATAGCATAGCGTGTATATGACACTGATAACAGTATATGTTTCATTGCATAACGTGTATATTGCATTGGATACAATTAATGTTACATAGTATAGCGTGTATATTGCACCGAGAACAGTGTATGTTACATAGCATAGCGTGTATATTGCACCGAGAACAGTGTATGTTACATAGCGTAACGTGTATATTGCACGGAGAACAGTGCACATTACATAGCATAACGTTTATATTGCACCGAGAACAGTGTATGTTACATAGCAAAACGTGTATATTGCATTGGATACAATGAATGTTACATAGTATAACGTGTATATTTCACTGATAACAGTGTATATTACACAGCATAACGTGTATATTGCACCGAGAACAGTGTATGGTACATGGCGTAACGTGTATATTGCACTGAGAACAGTGTATATTGCACAGCATAACGTGTATAATGCACCGAGAACAGTGTATGTTACATAGCAAAACGTGTATATTGCATTGGATACAATGAATGTTACATAGCATAACGTATATATTTCACTGATAACAGTGTATATTACACAGCATAACGTGTATATTGCACTGATAACAGTGTATGGTACATTAGCGTAACGTGTATATTGCATTGGATACAATGAATGTTACATAGCATAACGTGTATATTGCACGCTATGCAGTATATATTACATAGCATAACGTGCACATTGCACCGAGAACAGTGTATGGTACATAGCGTAACGCATATATTGCACTGGTTAGAATGAATGTTACATAGCATGACGTGTATATTGCACGCTATGCAGTGTATGTTACATAGCATAACGTGTATATTGCACTGATACTCAATAGAATAGAATTAGTATTGCATCTGGTACAGTGTATAAAGATTGCATTGGATACAGTGTGTGTTGCATTAGATAAGAACATATTTTGCATTGGATAAAGTATATATGTTACATTGGATACAATACCATATATTCCATTAAAAAAAATGTATATTACATATCCATTACATAGAATAGAATGCATATTGCATAGAAGTGAGTGAGTTTAGTTTTACGCCGCACTCGGCAATATTCCAGCTATATGGCAGAGGTCTGTAAATAATCGAGTCTGGACCAGACAATCCAGTGATCAACATCATGAGAATATATCTGCGCAATTGGGAACCGATGACATGTGTCAACCAAGTCAACGAGCCTGACCACCCGATCCCGTTAGTCGCTTTTTACGACAAGCATGGGTTACTGAAGATCAATATTCTAACCCGTACCTTCACGGGTCGGGGGTATTTAGGATAATTTGAACATCGTATATTTATACAGAATGTCTGTGGTATTAGATGCCCATTCCTTTACATAACCATCATTACGATGTAAACAGTTTTGTAGATTTGGTTTAGAGACACATCTTATTGTTGTGCTCGCCTTGGGCAAAGAGTGCACAGGCAAGTGATTATCAGTGGTATCAGGGTGTGGCAACTTACAAAGATGAGGAAGAGCCTCCACCTGCAACACGCCCCACAACAAGCCAGGAAACACAAGCAGAACAACGTCACGCCTATGATGATCAAAGCGAGGCCGATTTCATCTACCAGAGGTACAATGTCAAGGTCATTTGATCCGGTCGGAAGCTTGAATGGTACAGTTGCTTTCAAGCCTTCAAACAGGAACTTCATGAAAGTCCCTGGGAAGAACTTCAAGATGACGCCAGCAACGATTAGTACCAGGGATATCAACTGAAATATACAACAGGAACGTTAGCTCTGCATTGGATGATGACGTCAAATAATATTGTTGCTCAAATACAACAATGGCGAAAATCGAAACAGAGTTACACGTTTTTGGATATTTTCTCAGTGAACTTAATAATTCTATCAAAGAGTGAGTGAGTGAATTTAGTTTTACGCCGCACTCTGCAATATTCCTGCTATATGGTGGCGGTCTGTAAATAATCGAGTCTGGACCAGACAATCCAGTGATCAACAGCATGAGCATCGATCTGCGCAACTGGGAACCGATGACATGTGTCAACCAAGTCAGCGAGCCTGACTACCCGATCCCCGTTAGTCGCCTCTAACGACAAGCATGGGTTACTGAAGATCAATATTCTTACCCGGACCGTCACGTGTTTTCCATCAAAGAAATTTAAGTAGTTGTATAGACTCGTCAAAGATATAGGCGTGTAGGAATATAAAGACTGTGTCACTATCTAACCACTCTATTAACCAACAGAGCCGTAACATGCCAAGATTCGTTACCGTGACGACGAGATATACACGGGTAAACAAGAGTATATTGAATATCAGCTCAATACCCGTTTCACAATAGGCATATGTGTTCGTTATGACATGCACATAACGCTGGTAAATTGGCCCGATTCTGTTTACCCATTTCCTGTTTTTTTTTGTTGTCTTTACGTGACTCCGTCCATACACCAAACTCACAAAATTTGCTCACATATATTGTATATCAATACACTGAAGAGACATTTATACTGATGTAAAAAAGAAAGTACACACCTGGTGTTTGGAGACTATCAAAACAACGTCACAATGTTTGTGACTTGTGAGTCGCAATCAAAACACTTTTCTAAATATTACGCTGTTTTCAGGAAAACATTTTACCAAAACATCAAGTGTGTCCTTTCTTTTGTACGTCAGTGTATTTCATTTGCTCTGACCTAGAAAACGTTAAATTGATAATTGAATCCACAGATATAACGATCTATGTCGATTTCTCGCTGACTCCGTCAGAGTGTTAGAAGGTCGAAGCAACCTCCAGCATGGCAATTAGTGCTGGGAATCAAACCCAGGAGTTCTGCATAATCCACGCTGTGACCACCGCCCTATCACCAAAATCCCTATACGACAACAAAGCGATTTCCTTTGCAATTTGTTTTGGTTTAAGGACATAATCCTACACTTATGTAATCCTGCTGTTTTAACGCATGTTTTATACGCTACAAACATTTTACTAATGTGAAAACGTGCAGTTCCCACGTGACTTTGTATTATACCTAAGGCGTAGGTAACAACTGAACGGGTTTTAGAAGTGACACACATAAAATGTGAGAATTTATGAATGTCAACCTCTTTCATCTGATAAAAGTGTACGAATATACTCCGAGTGATTCTCATAATAAAGACAATTCTCACCTTATACCTTTTCAGTATATCCATACTATAATATAGGTGTGCAGGAAAAAAGTCCTAAATTTGCCTAGGAAAAAAGATCCTCCGGAAAAAAGTCCTATTTTGAAAAAGGAATTTTTGACAAAAGAATAAAAAGTATCTCGAATGATACCGAGTTATCAAGATTAACTTGTCATCTGTAATTAACTGTTTGAAACTATCGTTGACTTAAGACAACTATAAGGCTAAGTTAGCTTTGTGCAGTCGGCCCGATATTGCATGTGCCTCGAAATGTCCCTAAATCATATTTGCCCAGGGCCCCGTTCCTCACAACGATCGTATCGCTAAGATGATCTTAACTCCCATACTTTAACATAGACTTACGACTGTCGTAGCGCTACGATCGCTTTGAGGAACGGGGCCCTGAGAGATGACTCCAGACTAACATATTTTACAGAAACATACTGTTAATGAAGTATAATCATAAAATACAATGAAACGGAGACCAGAGACTTTCTTCATTTTCAAACCAAAAACGTGGTAATCTAGACTGGCCACACATTCTAGAATTGCATGGACTTTCTTGGATATGTTTGTTTAAGGATCTGGGCCCAGTTTCACAAAGCTCTCGTAAACCTAAGATCTCGTAACTTTTCTCGTAGCATTCGTACCTCCCATACTGTTACATAGGAGGTACGAATGCTACGAGAAAAGTAACGAGATCTTAGGCTTATGAGAGCTTTGTGAAACTGGGCCCAGTATGACAGACTAAGATTACCCTGCTATGTTCACCGTGTCCTGGGTGGACCGAATGTCGGCGTAGATGACCAACGTGCGACCGCCAATATGTTCACACTACACCGTTCCAACAACAGCAGTGATGTGGCATTCTGAGCTCGATATCCAAACGTAAGTGACTGACTGACTGAGTATGGTTTTACGCCGCTTTTAGCAATATTCCAGCAATATCACGGCGGGGGACACCAGAAATGGGCTTAACACATTGTGCCCATGTGGGGAATCGAACCCGGGTCTTCGGCGTGACGAGCCAACGCTTTAACCACTAGGCTACCCCACCGCCCCCCCAAACGTAAGTGGTTGTACCAGACACCAGGGCCCCGTTTCACAGAGCGATCGTAACGTTACGACTGACGTAAGTCTGTTAAAGTATGGGAGTTACGATCACCTTAGCGCTACGACTGTCGTAAGTCTATGTTAAAGTATGGGAGTTACGATCACCTTAGCGCTACGACTGTCGTAAGTCTATGTTAAAGTATGGGAGTTACGATCACCTTAGCGCTACGACTGTCGTAAGTCTATGTTAAAGTATGGGAGTTACGATCACCTCAGCGCAACGATCACCTTTGCGAAATGGGGCCCTGGGCCTAGATTTTTCGTAGCTCTCTTAGCGCTAAGATAGTCGTAAGTTAATGTTAATGTATGGCACTTACGACTATCATAGCGCTAAGAGAGCTTGGAAAATCTAGGCCCTGGTAGATACTAATGAATGTGGCATATTTAACTGATTGTATTACTGTTTAATTGCTATTTAATTAAACTTTACAGGATAAACAATATGTTAAAGACGTAATTATAACAAATGGTACATACATTCACCATTGACTCGGGGCCCGAGAAGGTCCGGGTTAGAATGAATCTTCCGTAACCCATGCTTACGGGGCGACTAACGAGATCGGGTGTCAGGCTCGCTGACTTGGTTGACAAATGTCATCGGTTCCCACTTGCGCAGATCGATGCTCATGTCGTTGATCACTGTATTGTCCGGTCCAGACGCGATTATTTACTAACTCAACTCACTCACTCATTGAGTCAGACATTGCTGTTTCGAACATATGGTTGTCACGAAGAAAGAGCGTGGTCATTGCTTATGTAGTCATCCTTTAGGGTTGTGTCGAAACTCGGATAACTATGTTTTCGTAGCACTATTAGTGAGTGAGTTTAGTTTTACGCCGCACTCAGCAATGTTCCAGCTATACGGTGGCGGTCTGTAAATAATCGAGTCTGGACCAGACAATCCAGTGATCAACATCATGAGCATCAACATACGATGACCACTCGACTGACTGACTGACTGAGTTTGGTTTTACGCCGCTTTTAGCAATATTCCAGCAACATCACGACTGTGGACACCAGAAATGGGCTTCACACATTTTACCCATGTGGGGATTCGAACCCGGGTCTTCGGCGTGACGAGCCAACGCTTTGACCACTAGGCTACCCCACCGCCCCCAGACCACTCGACCCCGTTAGTCGCCTCTTACGACAAGCATGGGTTACTGAAGATCAATTCTAACTCGTATCTTCACCATCAAACTTCGACACAACGATGTTTAAATGCACTTGTAGCTTTGTTCTCTCTCTATATATATAACCTATAATATCTATATACATACGCAGATATATATTTACAACATATGCAGCATATTGACAAAACTATAAACATATTTTTCAGGTTTACAGGTTCATATCTGTAATATTTGTCACCGTGTCCTTCAGTGTGACAGATGTGCTGTTTCCAGCCTTGACGAAGCCAAGATACACAACAGTATTTACGAGGTTAAACTAGCTTCCTTCTAACGGGCGACGTATTTTAGGTCGATAAAAAGACATTCAAATTTCAAATTCTAAATAATAATTAAAAAACCGCTGAGGCTTTTCGAGTCTTGTGTGTTTACAATCTGAAACTTTACTCACCAGAAACACGACATTCAGTAAAACAAGGATACACTGTCCAAAGCTGGCGCAGAATCCCATTGTCTCAGGTTAAGTGTGCAATGAAGTAGAAGATAAGTAATCATGCAGTAAGTCAAGGACACCATGCTCCTCTGGGTGGTGCCTCACTGTTCCCCATGCTGATCACACACTGCCGGGGTCGACACGCACACCATAGCGACGATCGTGACAACACGTGGTACAGGTCGACCACATGCGACACGGCCAGGAACAATGGATTAGAACATCGATTAGTCCCGTGACCCATTTCAACAGGTCTGACCACTTAGACACACGCAGCTGCTTACTATAATTATATTGATAGTATTTATCGTTATTATGATTGTTGGTGTTGTCACTTGACGGATAACCTTTAATATCATTGTTACTATTATTATAACCGGGGTATAATAGTTATTACTACTGGTGTACTATTGGTATAAAATTTTATTGTAACAATCACTCACTGTGGTTCTTGTTTATGACTGTATTGTGTATTTGATATCAACAGGATTTTTTGTGCGTCCAATCTAAACCACATTATTTAACTTTTAGGATTAAATAGTGGTGGAAAACATGTATAAAAATAATAGTTAATTTATATCATTGTTGTCAATATTTTGTTTTTCGTTGTATTTGTTGTCTGTTGTTAATATTGTTATTTACGTTGTAGCTGAGAGGTTTTGCATGATCATATACCATTATAAGAATTCTTCTTGCCCAATGTACAAGCAATGTGAGTTTCAGCATGTAACAAGTTTAAAGAAAGGGTAAGACTTCCATGCGATAGCGGACCACATGTAAATAGTGGAAATAATGACATTGTGTATATAACCTACATCTGGACTCCCTTATCGGAACATTTGTGAAGGCAAAATAGAGCTCGCAGAACCTAGAGATTATTTTTAGATAAGTATTATCAGGATGACGAAGGTATCCGGGCACGTTGTAGTGTTACTGTAGTGCTCTGGCACGTTGTAGTGTTACTATAGTGCTCTGGCACGTTGTAGTGTTAATGTAGTGTTGTGGCACGTTGTAGTGTTACTGTAGTGTTGTGGCACGTTGTAGTGTTACTGTAGTGTTCTGGCACGTTGTAGTGTTACTGTAGTGTTCGGGCACGTTGTAGTGTTACTGTGGTGTTCTGCCACGTTGTAGTGTTACTGTAGTGTTCTGCCACGTTGTAGTGTTACTGTAGTGTTCTGGCACGTTGTAGTGTTACTGTAGTGTTTTGGCACGTTGTAGTGTTACTGTAGTGTTCAGTCACGCTGTAGTGTTACTGTAGTGTCCAGCCATGTTGTAGTGTTACTGTAGTGTTGTGGCACGTTGTAGTGTTACTATAGTGTTCGGGCACTTTGTAGTGTTACTGTCGTGTTCTGGCACGTTGTAGTGTTACTGTAGTGTTGTGGCACGTTGTAGTGTTACTGTAGTGTTCTGACATGTTGTAGTGTTACTATAATGTTACTGTAGTGTCCTGGCACGTTGTAGTGTTACTGTAGTGTTGTGGCACGTTGTAGTGTTACTGTAGTGTTCTGGCACGTTGTAGTGTTACTGTAGTGTTCTGGCACGTTGTAGTGTTACTGTAGTGTTTGGCACGTTGTAGTTTTACTGTAGTTGGCAGCCGTGTTCTGCACGTTGTAGTTACTGTAGTGTTCAGTCACGCTGTAGTGTTACTGTAGTGTCCAGCCATGTTGTAGTGTTACTGTAGTGTTGTGGCACGTTGTAGTGTTACTATAGTGTTCGGGCACTTTGTAGTGTTACTATAGTGTTCGGGCACTTTGTAGTGTTACTGTCGTGTTCTGGCACGTTGTAGTGTTACTGTCGTGTTCTGTCACGTTGTAGTGTTACTGTTGTGTTCGGTCACTTTGTGGAGCTACTGCACTCTTGAGGCACGTTGTGGTCTTACCGGAGTGTTCGGGCACGTTGTAGTGTTACTGTAGTTTCCGGACACGTTGTAGTGTTACTGTAGTGTTCTGGCACTTTGTGGAGTTACTGTAGTCTTGATGCTCGTTGTAGTCTTACCGTAGTGTGTTCGGGTTCGTGGTGTTATTGTAGTGTTCTGGCTCGTTGTGGTGTTACTATATTATCCGACCACGTTGCGATGTTGCTGTTGTATCCGGGCACGCCGTGGTGTTACTGTTGCATAAGGCCACTACTGTGGTATACGACCATGGAATAGTGATACTGTATTATACGGCCAGGTTGTTAGCGATGTTATTAGAGATCCATTCACCATCGCACCGTGGCTGTTATTGTATACTGACGTACAAAAAGAACACACCTGATGCTTTGGTAAAATATTTTCTGAAAAACAGCATTAAAATTAGAAAAGTGTTTTGATTGTGACTTACAAGTCACAAACATTGTGTACGTGTTGCAATAACACCAGATATCGTACCCAATTACAACGTTGCTAGTAAAATATTTGTTTGTTTGGGAATAGCCTCAATGCACAAGGTGTCTACTTTCCTTTGTACAACAATATCGTAAGTTTGAGACGAGGTATGATCCTTGATATCAGGGAGCGGGATCCATGGACTTCTTCGATACCCAGTTCTGTAGATATAAACACATTGTGGTTGTAGGCACGTGTAGTTCACAAGTCCATGTCTACCTATCATAAATCTGAGTGCGTGTCATATCGAATACATTAAGAAAGATATTAGCCATATTTGAATAAGATATTTGTATAAAATAAAGGGCACATGTCCCAAAGCTTATACCGTGTCTTATAGAGATACTGAAGAACCTTCTGGGCGGTGGGGTAGCCTAGTGGTTAAAGCGTTCGCTCGTCACGCCGAAGACGCGGGTTCCCCACACGGGTACAATGTGTGAAACCAATTTCTGGTGTCCCCGCCGTGATAATTCTGGAACATTGCTAAACACGGCATAAAACTCGCTCACTCCAAAGAATACTCAATTAACTGGCTTTACACATTATGCAAATAAGGGGACTCAAGCCGACTCAAGTGACGAGAGTGACGAGACATCGTGCATGTTGCCGGGAAGCTATTCTCACTTGCAATCATCCCCGTCTTCAGGTTTCGAAGAGTTAGATGACTTCTGTTTGTAGAACATGTCACTCTGTGTCACTCTATATTGGGTTGTGTAGTTGTGGACGGTCTGCGTGACATTTACAATTTTCTTGCCTCACACATAAATGGCGTTTTCTGATTGGCTGAACGCTCTTCTACTATTTCAAATGTAACCCGCTCACAAGCGAGTAACATTTTCTGTGTACCCTGCTAGGAATGCCGAACTCTTTTGCGAATGTTTTTCTTGTCGTCTTGTATTCTGGTACTCCATACTATGATCCGATACCCGTGCTTCAAACAGTTCAAAATTACCATTGAGGTGTTCGGTAAGATAAATACGTTGTTCACTGGTCCCTCGGGGCCCATGGGTTGATGTATCCTCGATGTTTCTTTATGTTCATAAAACACACATCGAGGGTACATCATCCCATGTCCCCCTCGAGACCAGTGAACAACTTTTGTTATCTTACCTCACACATAAATGTCACTTTCTGATTGGCTGAGCGCTCTTCTATTACTTTCAATGTACCCCGCTTACAAGCGAGTAACATTTCAGTGTACCCCGCTGTCAATGGCAACTCATTTGGTACTTTGTGGTAGTAATTCTTTATCTCGAATAACATTGAATCACGTATGATGTACGGAAATTACCGATGTTTTGCGAATGCAAATCGATGGAAGGGAGATAACTCTAAATCTGTTTCTCTTGTCAGCAAAATCTAGCGATGGCGACAAAAAAAAAATTGTACCCGTGCTTCAAACAGTTCAAAATTAACATTAAGGTGTTCGGTAAGATAAATACTTTGTTCACTGGTCCCTCGGGGCCCATGAGTTCATGTACCCCTCGAGACCAGTGAACAACTTATAATGCATCACCCAAACCATAGATCATCATCCTCATCATCATCAACATTTGGAAAGATGGTCATGGGAAATAATGTTTCGACACTCTGAAATCTTTATGTCGTTTTTAATCTGTGTTTAATAGTGAGGTAAGTTGAAATTGGTTCAGTGAATGAGTGAGAATGGCTTTACGCCGCTTTTAGCAATATTCCAGCAATATCACGGCGGGGGGGGCATCAGAAACATTGTACCCATATGGGGAATGGAACCCGGGTCTTCGGCGTGACGGGCGAACGCTTTCACCACTAGGTTACCCTACCGACTCTGAAATGGGTTTAACGTGTATGTATGGTTCACCACGGACATTTAGATCGACGGGAAGATGCTGCACCCACTACCCCAACGAAGCAGTTTGTAATAATGTCAAAACGGTCAACGTGGTCCGAGTAGGACATGACAACACACACACACATCCAATGACACTATCTTTTATTAAAGCACGTCATCAATGCTTATATACATTAAAAGTTTACATCATGAAATAAAAGACATTCAGACATAAGCAAAGAGTGATTTACATGTGAAACACCGTGTTCGGCCCATTCCGAGTTCAACATCGGCGTGGATGTCTCACATATAACCACCATCACATATAACGAAATATCCTGACACCGACACTTGGGCCCGACGGAGACATTTCTTATTCATCTTGACATATTTAATGTCAACATTATAAAAGCCAGTATGAGGTGACCCTTCGGCAGCCTCGGACAGTAAAACACCCAGCACTACCTGAACGGTGTAAACCCTAAAGAACAAGACTGACAGCAAGTCATAGCATATCTAGCATACACAGCCATCCTTCCTGAAATGTTAATCGCCCGATTTGTAGGGCGTCCAAGTTCTGAACCATGGTCCCCCCTGACAGAGCATTCGTAGCGCTACAATATTCGTAAGTCTATGGTAGTCTATAGACTTACAACCGGTCGTAGCGCTACGATAGCTTTGTGAAACGTGTCACAGGGTCCCATTCACAAAGCATTCGTAGCGCTACAACATTCGTAAGCCTTTGGTAAACTACAGAGTTAAGACAGGTCGTAACGTTACGAACGCTTTATGGATCAGGGCCTAGATTTTCGAAGCTCTCTTAGCGCTAAGATAGTCGTAAGTTAATGTTAATGAATGGCACTTACGACTATCTTAGCGCTAAGAGAGCTTCGAAAATCTAGGCCCTTGACCCAGGACGCTACGACATTCACGATTGCAATGTGGTATAAACATGAGCAATAATTTGGTAATCTGAGCAATGATGGAATAGTTCTGGTCTACAAGAATGCTAAGTACTATTGAATGTTTAAATGATCCATGCCTGACAGTACCATCTAATGTCTGTAGTATTAATGAACATCAGAAGAAAAGTTGCATTCATCTTGGTCTTGGTGTTAACGACAATGAACACCAACACCATGTCCAGCACAGGTTCGTGCTTGCTACAGCTACGTCGTACCAAATTTGGACAACGTTCATGATACAAAATATACGTTTGGGTATTCAAATAAAATACGTGAACTCCCGCAGATCCTGACGACAGTAGTATAGGACGGGTCGATGCATAAACCATATAAAATGTCTTTACAAATACATACTAGGAATGTATATTCATGTTAGTACAGGTTACACTATTCTCAAGAAAACCATGATGAAAATTCTGAGCAAGAATTTGGTAATCTGAGCATTGGTAATTTTCATCTGGTCTTCAAGAAAGGTCATGTTTCAAGTTGAGCAGGTTTCGAATTGAGCACCACTTAACACGATAGCTAAACGTTGTTATATTTTTGCAAGTACATAAATCTTTCTTAGAGGAATGGTCGACATTTCGTGAGCGGTCAAGTACTTGTAATGAGGCGGAGTTTATAACTGGCTCGTGACGTTTGGTTTTCATAAGAAATGTTTCCAGAAACCAAATTCAAAAATACAAACTTGCTTTACGATGTTGACTACAACATCCTCATATATTATGGACAACGGTACACGAATCTCTATCGAACGTCGCACTCACGGAATAAAAGAAGTTGGTATCCATTAAGTTTGTCAATACTGTACTTCCAATGAACATGTATTTGTAAAACTATCAAATAGTGAAGATATCAGCTGTTCGCAAAGTAGTGAGCGTAGGCCGCATTGGTGGCATTTGTCATAAACACACGCAAAGACAGGTCAATTATTCACCTAAACATAGGAAATACCTAAAGGTGAACCGTGATTCAGGTGCTAATTGGTGATGTAATTACATGATAGCATGTTGTCATGTGGGTGAGTGAATTTAGATTTACGCCGCTCTCAGCAATATTGCAGCTATATGGTGACTGTCTGTAAATAATCGAGTCTGGACCAGACAATCCAGTGATCAACAGCATGAACATCGATCTAGTGGGATACGATGACGTGCGTCAACCAAGTCAGCAAGCCTGACCACCCGATCCCGTTAGTCGCCTCTTCCGACAAGCATGGGTTGCTGAAGATCACTTTTATCCCGGATCTTCACGAATATTATTGGTCTGAATCACCAGGGTTAGAAATTCTCATACGTCCATGACGTTCAAGTCGTGTTTCGAGTATCAGACATTACTGACAAACACCGTTATGAGAAACTCCATTATGACAAAACCGTTATGAGAAACAGCGTTATGACAAACATCGCTGTGGAAAAACACCGTTGTGTCAAAGACGTTACTGCGAATATACTTCGAGTAATCCGATGTTCGTCACAACAGCAAAAGGAGAACTGTATTTGGAATACGCAGAGTCCAATCTTTATCTTCGAGACAGCCGGTTCGGCACATCAAAGTTCGACACAAAGGGGATTGACCTTAGTTGTAACATGTGAGAGTACATCATTGGGAGGCCTTAGGCCATGTGGTACTGCTGTTATCTCTGCAAGGGCCCTTCTTCCTGAGATAGTGTTGACTGTGTTAGAGTAGTGTAATTGGTCAGCCGCAGGTTGTCATAGAAACAAGGATAGACAATCTCATACATCAACGTAAACATCGGGGACTATAGGAAACAAAGGGTATCACCTGAAAGTTAAAAGAAACACAAGGTATCACACAGGGTGCTATAAATATACGAGGTACCAACAGAATACGGGAGGAAACACAAGGTTTGGGGGACACATGGTACCATTAACGAGACGAGGTACAGCAGATACCACTACTATGAGGGACAACTTGTAGAAACAGATGCACTGACAGACGTTCCGACAAAAGTCACTGTCACGGGAAGGGCACCAGGACCTGGTTCAGTATCAGAAACATCGTATCATAGGTCGCAGTATCATCGAAAAATGGGGGGTTCACTTGAAATTTGAGGTTTCTCTTTAAACATTGGGAAACATCTGAGCTAGGAGACACAGAGCTCAGTTCAGGACACCGGGCTGCTATCGGACTCACGGGGCTATAAACTGAAGCGAGGATTATGTGCGGAAATACAGGATTCCACTAGAAACACTCGGACTGTAATCAAACATAGGGGCTGTAATCAGACACGTGGGTTATCATCAAACAAAGGTTTTAATCAACACATGGGCTGTAATCAAACACGTGGGCTATAATCAGACACGTGGGCTATAATCAGACAAATCGGCCGAAATCAGACACGTCAGACACGTGGGCTATAATCAGATACGTGGGCTATATATAATCAGACAAATGGGCTGAAATCAGACACGTGGACCATAATCAGACACGTGGGCTATAATCAGACAAATGGGTAAAATCAGTGACGTGTAATATAATCAGACACACTCTTGCTTGGCAACAGTATGATAATCTAAACCGAAACGTCGCATGATAATATACTAAAGAAGTTGTTATCCATAAAGTATGGCACCTTTCCTACAATTCATCAACGTCTAAAATGCCAATCAAACAGATTATAATCAGACACACGCACTGTAATCAGACAAATGGGCTATAATCAGAAAGGGTTTCAATCAAACACATGGGCTATAATCAGACACGTGAGCTATAATCAGACACGTGGGCTATATTCAGACACATGAGCTATAATCAGGCATGGGCTATAACCAGGTACACGGGCTGTAATAAAAAAACATGGGTATTAATCAGACACACGGGTCACAATCAGACACATGGGTTATAATCTGACACATGATTATAATCAGACGCAAGGGTTTTAATCAAACACGTGTGCTATATTCAAACACAAGAGCTAATACACACACACAGAAGCAAAAATCTAACACAGGATCTATAATCAGACACATGGATTATAATGGGTGGTTATACAATCGGGAACACAGAACTGTCGATACAATTTCATACCAACAATACCGTCAGAAAACAAGACAACCACTGACAGCTCACATAACCTTGTGTGTACGTACATATATGACACACATTCGATACAATAAACCTTCCACTATACAGGCAACTGAGACAGACGAAGTGTTTCTGAAACATCACAGGTGGAGATGACGTCATCGCTGATTTCGTCATATCGATAAATGGCTTCGATTTGAGCGTTTGGATCTTCATTCTCATGCGGTCTTCCCTGGGTGCCCTATGTTAAACGATCTGTCACAGGACTAAGACGAGAGTATGACTCCATTGCTCTTCATGTAACAGTGCTGCAGTCACACGAACACTACGAACACTAGTGAGGCGATCCGGATCTTGAAGTAAACGAGAAAACACCCGCACCACTGGGCTAACCTTAGTCAGACTGTGTTCTCTCAGAAGCAGCAGGCACTTTGAATGAGACATAATTCCGTCACCGTCATCCTCTACATCGTAACTGTCACGATGTATCAACGGATGTCTTCAACAAATGTGTGTGAATATTGAGGTAGACACATATATATCGATGTTCGTGGGAAGTATATATCTCATCTCACAACAAAATCTGAACTCTCACACAAGGAAATCTGTGCAAGTTCGTGCTCAAGACAGTCCTTCTTCATTTCAACATGGCTACAGTGAGTGAGTGAATTTAGTTTTAAGCCTCTTTTAGCAATATTCAAGCAATATCACGACGGGGGGACACCAGATATTGGCTTCACACACTGTACACATGTGGAGAATCGAACCCGCGTCTTCGGCGTGACGAGCGAACGCTTTAACCACTAGGCTACCCAACCGCCCCCAACAACATGGCAAAAGATGGTTCATGGATTTGCTCGCTATTCCCGTAGGACCATTCCTTAATCCGTGGCGTCTCTTTAGTTCTCCTTCTCTTTGTCACTGGAACTGTCAATGACAATTTCCGGTATTTTCGCAGCTGAAGGAGGGGGAGACAACTTCAACTTCCGGTCTGACTTCTTCCATGCGAATTGTTGGATCGAGGACATCATCCGTTAAACCGATCTCCACAATTCGGTCTTCAGCTGACGTCTTAAAACAGGGTGTGCAGAGCAGGAAGTGGCAGAGGGCGCCAGCTATCACCAAAGCGCCCCCTAGGTAGAACGAGGTATCGTACGAACCGTTGAGGTCGTACACGGCTCCTGCAATTACAAATTAGGAACAGAATTAATCATGTGTTTAAGGTTCAGTCCAAAATCGTAACCCAGATGGTATGATTTATCCTCCATCTTCATTAATCTTATACATAATGCTTTGGAATTCAAACTCAGACTTGTTACAGGAGTAGGCAAACGTTTTCACCTCATTTCGAATCAGTCTCAACACTTGCTTTTGGGGAAAGAAAATCAACATAAATTGACAGGCAAAACATGCCGATGGAACCCGAGAGCTTGTGAATGCAGTACGATGATTGTCGATGAAATCCGAGTGTTGGTGAATGCAGGATGATACATGCCGATGAAACACCGAGAGTTTGTGAATGTAAAACGACGATTGTCGATGAAAACCGAGTGCTTGTGAATGCAGGATGATACATGTCAATGAAAAACCGAGAGTTTGTGAATGCAGTACGACGATTATCGATGAAATCCGAGTGTTTGTGAATGCCGGATGATACATGTCAATGAAAAACCGAGAGTTTGTGAATGCAGTACGACGATTATCGATGAAATCCGAGTGTTTGTGAATGCCGGATGATACATATCAATGAAAAACCGAGAGTTTGTGCAATGCAGTACGACGATTGTCGATGAAAACCGAGTGCTTGTGAACGTACGCACCTGCGAGCGGTGGCCCGGCTGTAGATGATATTCCACGTGCCAAGGTGAGTAGGCCAAAGGCATTGGTCAGATTCTCCAGACCCAGGAGGTCACAGATGATGATGGACGTCAGGGAGATATAGGCAGCTGGAGAGAGAGATATATCATCATATAACGCATGCAGAAATTCATCCTGTACTAATCCTTTTCAACAAAACCCGGATTTGTATATTTCATATGTTATCAAATTGTGGTAAATTTTCCTATGAGCGTTTGTTTGCTGTTTAACGGTGCACTCATTATGTAAGACCGTGATCGTTAAAAGTGCGTCTGAACCAGACAATCCAGTGATTGACTAGGCCATCCATTAAAAAGAGACACGATGACATGTGTCAACAAGTCGGCGAGCCTCCGACCCCATTACTCGCTTCTTACAACGGGTTGTTAAAGACCTATTCTAACACTGATTTTCCAGGGGGACAGTAATATTGTAAAATAAAAATAAAATAAAATAAATGGGTAAAATTGATTCAACGTTGGTTTTAACAGTTATGTCACACCGTATTACAGGTTGACGACGACGGAAAACCGTGGGAACGGTCGTAGACGTTTACTAAATTGGACATAGTGCCACCACACACAGAAACATAACGGTAGAACGAAGATTCCAACTTGTAATTGAAGGATATTGGTAGGCCCAAGGGAGGTAACTCGTCATGACTTACCGACACACAGACCAAAGACGGCAGCGAATGTACACAACAGGGGGTAGGTGGTGCAGAACGGGGCCAGCATCGTCGCTATCCCCAGTAGCAGCATCGCGACGTTGTTGATGAGGAGACTGTCGACCTTCCGGAGATCGGCCAGGAAGCCGGCAAGGACACGGCCAATAGTGTTGGTAATTCCTGAAACAGTGAATGAGTGAGTGAGTGAGTGAGTGAGGTAGAGGGATTGAGATATATGTGTGAGTGAGTGCTTGCGTGCGTGTTTGCGTGAATCCGTGCGTGCGTGCGAACTGTTAACGCCTCTTTGAACAGTATCAATTTAATCTGGAAGGAAAGCTCGTATACAAGTCTTGTGTAAGTGACTTCAACCAACGATCAGCGGATCATGATGCGTCTAAAGGCCATAACTCTGAATCAGACTTCCAAGAGTTAAGAACATAGTAATCAGAGTTAAAGATTAATTAACATGGCTAGCGTGTAAACAATATCAAATAATCAAGGAAGCACTACAAACGATCTGCTCATAACAGGTTCAACAACACCAAATCAGAATCAGTTATTCCACCAGCCGGCTTCCGTTGTAGTTAGAGAGAAAACGTGAAGGCTTTTATAACATGTATATTTGGGATTACACTTTCTCAGATTCCAGTACTTTTGTTGGTTTGGGCCCCATCCGGGATTCGAACCCACACCCTAAGGGCGAGGCACCTAATCGCCAGCACACAAAGTCAGCCGTCTAACACGCTCAGCCACGGCGGCTTCCACTGGTGGAGGAGGCCGAGTGGGTTAGACGGCTGTCTTTGTTATAAATTATATTTATATCCCATTTACTGATATGGTTACTGAAGAAAACGTACTACTTTGATTTTAATGTGTCATCTGTGATTGGACGGTATTTTGTAAGATTTAGTGTTCTTTCTAAGAGCCCATCCCATTGCTGGAATAGTGCTAAAAGCGGCTTAAAACCATACTCATTCACTTACTAAAGTATCCATCCACACTGTAAAGGCAACTGACTATTATTTTCAGAGGTTCGTGTAACTGTGTTTTTCAGCACGATGACCTAAGCTGAATGCAACCAGAGATATTTCGAAGTAGGCAACATTTGCTGCAGAAATGTTGTTTTTTTTGTTTAGCTGCAAGTACTCAGAAAACCCGCTTCCAAAGTGGACCAAATGTGTGGTTTTATTGCAACGTTAAGACGAGTTGCGGCATACATGTACACGCATTTGTTGTTGCTGCAGTAAACATATATGTGTCAAGATACATCCAGAAATCACTTCGGGGGCGGTGGGGTAGCCTAGCGGTTAAAGCGTTGGCTCGTCACGCCGAAGACCCGGGTTCGAATCCCCACATGGGCACAATGTGTGAAGCCCATTTCTGGTGTCCCCCGCCGTGATGTTGCTGGAATATTGCTAAAAGCGGCGTAAAACCAAACTCAGTCAGTCAGAAAACACTTCGTCGGTGTACCCAATCGCTCGCTTAAAAGGAATAGCTAAGGGGAGGCAACTCTTGCGGGACTATTCTACACAGCAAATCCAGTGTCTCTTATCAACAGCTGCTGTGATTTGTTTGTTTGTTGTTTGTTGGACTCAGCAATATTCCAGCTCTATGGCGGCGGTCTGTAAATAATGCAGTCTGGACCAGACAGCCCAGTGATCAACAGCATGAACATGCGTCAACCAAATCAGCGAGCCTGACCATCCGATCCCGTATATGGGTTGCTGAAGACCAATTCTACCTGGATCTTCAGTGATGGCTACTGTGAAGGGAAGTGTTTTTGAAAAATGGAAGTGCGGCCTGTTTCGATACAATTTAGACATTTTAGAAAAAAGCTGCAGTCAGGCCGCAGATTATTAAATAAATATGTCTGAATGGTTTAGGTACGGTTTGAACTGTGTCCCATCAAAATACAGCATCACCAACAAAGTACATAAACTGTACTGACATGAACCCCAAGTCATTTATAGCAGAACTGTCTAAGTCCCATATAGAGACGAAAATTCTAAGTTTGCTTTATAGTGCTCTTGCTTAGGCAGTTGTATGTCTGTGTGGTAGTCTTGAAGTAAGGACAGTCGTAAGTGTACGTTGTGAAGATACAAAGCTCATAGTGCGAAATCTATGATAGACGTAAGTGTTCGTTTCGCGCCAAAGTTACGACAGTCATAAGTGTAAGATGAGAGTCATAATCCTGTACAACAGAGCCACAGTTACGATAGTCGTAGGTGCATGGTGAGAGTCATAATCCTGTATAATAGACCAGAGTTACGACAGTCGTAAGTGTATGGTGAGATTCTTAACCCTGTGCAATAGAGCCACAGTTACGATAGTCGTAAGTGTATGGTGAGATTCTTAACCCTGTGCAATAGAGCCACAGTTACGACAGTCATAAGTGTAAGATGAGAGTCATAATCCTGTACAACAGAGCCACAGTTACGACAGTCGTAGGTGCATGGTGAGAGTCATAATCCTGTATAATAGACCAGAGTTACGACAGTCGTAAGTGTATGGTGAGATTCTTAACCCTGTGCAATAGAGCCACAGTTACGACAGTCGTAAGTGTATGGTGAGAGCCAAAGTTGTAAGACTATAGTGCTAAAGTAACTGTTGTTAGTCTCCAGGGCCTAGATTTTCAAAGCTCTCTTAGCGCTAAGATAGTCGTAAGTGCCATACATTAACATTACCTTACGACTATCTTAGCGCTAAGAGAGCTTCGAACATCTAGGCCCTGAAAGGTATGTACCACTTTGAGAGATATCACTATGCCACGTTTACAGACTTACCTATGATAGACAAAAGGAAGGCTGCCTTCCCCTCATCAATGTCCAGCGAGATAGCACGGTCCACGAGGTAGACGAAGGGCACGTAGAAGCCCAACATTGCCAGGACGTTGCCGAAGCAGATGAGGAGGAAAGTAGGGTTCTTGAGGAGACTGACGTCAAGCATCTCCGACAGCGTGTCACGTGCAGGTTTGGGTATCCACTCGCACGTGAAGCACGTCTTCTCCATGTGCATGCTGGGTATGCTAGTGACGCTGCGAATGTAGTCTTTCATATCCGGCTGCGACTTGAACTGTTGGATGTTCATAATGCTGCCACTGTAGAAGATGTCCTTCCGGTACATCGGGCGAGACAAGTCGCCTTTAATCTTGTTTAGGTTTGCCTCTGATATAAATGTCAGATCGTGAGCACGACGGGGACTGCTGTGATGGATCCTGTCTTCCACGTCCAAGAATCTCATCTTTTGGACCAGAGGTTCCACTTCCGCTTTGTCCAAATTGTCATCAGGAATAGCTCCTATGTATTTGGAAGCATCAACAGGCTTGTCCCTACTCTTTGATGGCACCTTGTCTTCAGTGCTGGTTGAATGCATTACCATATTTGGAACTGAGGAGTAAGCAGCGCCACCTGTTGGTTTGTCCAAAACTAAGAATTTATTTTTTACGATTGGTTTTGATTTGGAGATCATGTCAGTCACGTTGCTTTTCTTGGGTTTAGGGGACGCCGAAAGGGGACGCATGAGCATTCCGCACACCATTCCGTTAAATACAATTCCTGCTAGGATTAGAAGCGCGCTCTTCCACTCTAAGGCGTCGAGTAAGTAGCGAGAGAAGGGGGCGAATATGAACATGCCAACTCCGGATCCGCACACCCCGATCCCGGTTGCGATGGCGCGTTTCTTCTCGAAGTAGAACCCCACGCTGACGATGGCGGGCAGGTACATCATTCCGAAACCGAATCCTGAAACGACACAGACCGTCACAACGTCACTCTGGAATGCTAAGAAACTATATAAACAAAATCAAAGTTACTATATTTTACATAGATATATATTTCGCCAAGGAAGATGGGAAAGAACTGATAACAGAACTTCCTCATCACTACTAGTTTCCCAACGCAGTGAGGAGTTTCGATTTCAGTGTTCACAGAAACGTTTCAGGGCCAGTGTTTGAAATGTCATATTCCTGATCCCGATGGTAGTTCAGACTCGAAAACATGAAATTATCAGCCACAAATATACGGTTTTGCACCGGTAGATAAATATTTATCATCCAAAACTGTGTTGCTATGACATATTGCTTGTGTGAGATCACACGATATCTCCAAGGAGATATCATTTTGACAGTAGATTGTGTACAATGCCCTGACAATGATATGACGTCATGAAATTGGTGACCTCACAATGCTATGACATCGCTGCACAGCAAGTCTAATGACAGAACCGTGTTCAGTGATGTACATTTTTCATTGAAAACTAATGAAGAGTGATTTTGGATGATAAATAGAATCTCACCCTCGTGTCTTCTGATATCAAATATTTCAACACTCGTTGATAAAAGTAAAAATATACTCGGCAAGCCTCGGATATTTGTAACTTTATCAACTCGTGGTGATATATTTGATATCAAAAGACACTCGGGTGAGTTTCTCTATATATCTACCCCCTATACAGAACCTATTGTAAAACGGCCAGTCAATCGTTACTGCAATAGTTCCATATAGAGTTATAACTTGGCATCAAACAAACATGACGTCATCTCGAATATGACATCACAGACAATGAGAATTACGTCATTTGCTCCTTCCTGGTGAGTGAGGAATTTGCAGCTCGTTGCTGTAAAATACAATCACACCTACCTCCGATTACACCATATGTGAGAATCAGTATCTCAACATTTGGGGAGAACGTGCTCACGACGAAGCCTATGGTTGCTATGAGACTGCCGGCCATGCACACGGGCCGACATCCGAACTTGTTGGTAAGGGCGCTAACGATTGGCCCTAGAACAGAAAGGAATCACATAACAGTTTAGTGCTTATTCCAATAAATGGTTAACAGTATTATCACATGTGATTAAATCAGAGTTACAACGTCGAACGAAATCTAATTGGGCGTCTCTCGTCAGGCAACAGGGTTGCATATAAATATCTCATTACATATGCCTCGTTTAAAGCCGAAGACCTGTTTTCGACTCCCCAATACAATGCATGAAGCCCGTTTTGATCTCATGTCATCATGTAGGTGGAAGACTGAAAAAAGGACCAGACGATCCAGTGATCAACAGGGCATGAGCATCGATCTACGTAATTGGGATACGATGGCATGTGTCAACCAAATCAGCGAGCCTGACCACCCGATCCCGTTAGTCGCCTCTAACGACAAGCATGGGTTGATGAAGACCAATTCTAACCCGTTTAACGTCTACAACATCATATATTTCGGGAAATCGCAACAGTTGCAGCATCCACTGCGTCCAGTTAATTCCCATGACGCCATGTCTTTCCTTATCCAGAAATCTAGGGTCATCAAACAAATAATTTGTTAAGACGAAGGTTGTCGTGTACCTACCTACACACAGGTATGTTCCAACCTGGACGGATCCAACCAAAGCCACTTTACTCTTGGACTCTTTGAAATAGCTTGTGAATTCCAATAAGAATATACCAAATGTGTACCCGATGCCGTCCACGATGATGTTGCAGACGAGAGACGCGGCGACGATCACCCAGCCCCATCCTCCATCCGGCGGCGTGGGAATATACGCATCAACGTCATTAACTGACGCTAAGTATTCATCTTGGCCATTTTGTAGCCCGTTCTTTTTGTCTTTACTTGACATCTTGCCTCTTTGGGTTATGTCACTAAGGTTATTTAGTCTCAACGAGATATTCGTTCACATAGGACACGTGTAGAGTAAAAGGACTCAAATCTCATTTAAACGAGATTTCGAACGGCAAAAATTGAAATCTCGTTCAAACGAGATTTGCAGGTGCAGTCATCCAAACGTCATGTCCTTTTCGGAGTCGTGATGGCGTAGACAGCTTCCTGCAAAAGAAGATGGATAAATATTGTAGCGATATATCACCTTGTCACGTGGTAGTCTTTGAGGGTCAAGCCCTAACGCTTGAGTCCTACTGGCAAAGGTCAAGAGTGGACGCACTGGATTAATCCGATACTCCAAACAGACGGTAATATTCACACTTGCTGGCATGTTGTACTCGGGCGTGCAAACAGTTTATTGTAAACCTTGGATAGATAGGCATGTGGATATGGTATTAATGTTATATCGGGCGTGCAAACACTTTCCGTTCACACAAAAACACATTCCTCTTCCACACGAACACATAGACCTAACATAACGAGACATTCCTCTCACACAAAGACGCATACCCCAACAGCATTCCCCTCACACATGTACACATTCCCCTCACAAACAACACATTCCTCTTTCACACGAACACATTCACGTCACATACGAACACAGTTTCCTTTACACAAGGACACATTCGTATCACATACGAAAAACATTTTCCCCACACAAGGACACATTTCTATCACATACGAAAAATATTCCTCACACAAGGACACATTCGCGTCACATACGAAACACATTTTCCTCACACAAGGACACATTCGCGTCACATACGAACACATTTTCCTCACACAAGGACACATTCGCGTCACATACGAACACATTTTTCTGACACAAGGACACATTCCCGTCACATAGGAACACATTTTCCTCACACAAGGACACATTCCCGATACATACGAACACATTTCCTCACACAAGGACACATTACTATCACATACGAAACACATTTTCCTCACACAAGGACACATTCCCATCACATACGAACACATTTCCCTCACACAAAGACACATTCCCGTCACATACGAACACATTTTCCTCAAACAAGGACACATTCCAGTCACATACGAACACATTTTCCTCACACAAAGGCACATTCCCGTCACTTACGAACACATTTTCCTCATACAAGGACACATTCCAGTCACATACGAACACATTTTCCTCACACAAGGACACATTCCCATCACATTCTTCTCACCCTGACACGAATCCCCCAACACTGACACATATTCCTCTCAGACAATCATAAATTCCTGGAAGCAAAATCCCTACAGAATTTTAAATCATGCATGGACTTGCAATCTACAGTGAAACTAACAGCGTGTCAATTGCAAGAAAACATGCACCGTCATCAAACAGTATCTGCTCTGCACTTCATTACAGGTGAAACCAATAACCCACGGCGAATCAGTGACCCCTCAACGAATCCAAGCGTGCGCCACGACAACTTCGAACCGCAGGCCTGTGTCTCCCCTGTGTGCCAAAACCAAAGCTTAGGTGGTTTGGGAACAGATCCCTATCCTTCAATGCAGCAACATTGTGGAATAAACTGCCCTGTGACTTAAAAAAATTGAAAATCTCTGCGCTTTCGAAAGGGCTTTAAAGACCTACCTGTTTAATCAGTTTTACAACATAGCCTAATCTTTCCCAAATTTCCAAACTTTGGTCTCTAAACCCGGGGAGGTCTTGGTTAGAATATTGATCTTCAGTAACCCATGCTTGTCGTAAAGGCGACTAACGGGATCGGGTGGTCAGGCTCGCTGACTGGGTTGACACATGTCATCGGTTCCCAATTGCGCAGATCGATGCTCATGCTGTTGATCACTGGATTGTCTGGTCCAGACTGGATTATTTACAGACCGCCGCCATATAGCTGGAATATTGCTGAGTGCGGCGTAAAACTAAACTCACTAACTCATGTTTTACGGATAAAACTGCTGGTCTCCCATTACAAATGTTCACCAAGCTCGTTCGTTGAGACGAAAATGCGTATGTATAATGCAGAATGCATGGGTTAGTACAGGAATACACAGAAACGGAACAATTGTAATTTCCATATTATCAAATACATAATATTCCAAAGTAAAAAATAAATCAATCATCCAATATGTAGGCTTTCATTAATATGGACAAACTCAATTATACAATTGGAAACTATCGATTTACATTTTGGTTACTTTGGTTAGTTCGCAAACGTCCACGCATATAGAGCTAACTGGGGCGTGAGTGAGTGAGTTTAGTTTTACGCCGCACTCAGCAATATTCCAGCTATATGGCGGCGGTCTGTAAACAATCGCGTCTGAACCAGACAGTCCAGTGATCATCAGCATGAGCATCGATCTGCGCAATTGGGAACCGATGACATGTGTCAATCAAATCAGCGAACTGACCACCCGATCCCGTTAGTCGCCTCTTACGACAAGCATGGGTTACTGAAGATCATTTCCAACCCGGATCTTCACGGGTTTAGAGACCAAACTGACCCAGGGATCATTACAGTCTGTCTCACAGTCCCTGAACCACATTATTGTCTCTACTCCCTTACCCTCCTTGCAATGCTAAATCCCTAAATGAAGCAAGTCAAGATTTTCACAGGTCACTGGGGCTCCTTTTCGATTTAAATGGGATTATTTGTTAGTGTCAACATTATATATACATATATTCAGAGACTAGAGGTTAGTTTATGATCATTATTGTGATTTGCCTCACAAGACCGCCAATTCAATAGAGATGCCAACTGCTTCTGTGACTATTTCTGACCTTGACCTTCAACGTCATTCTAAACGTGTAGCAGCACCTGCAGCACGATATATCAGAATATGATTCAGCTGTCTCCTCTATGATCCTGCTGGGAGAGGGAGATGACGGAGAATCTAAAGCTAATTATGTCAGCGTGTGCTGATAATCTGGGACGTATTTTCAAAGTTAAGGTGGCTCTGCCCTTGAAGTGTAATCTTTGACAGGTTGACGAAGTATGTACGTTGCCCTTTGCCGAACTGTGCGAAAACAATGGGGAAATCTGTTACTAGCGTCTACTTCAAACTGCACGTGCTTCAAGGTGAAATATGACTGATTGTGTGAGGTACTTCGTGTCACGTGCCCTATCCGCACCTGTCTCAGGTGAAATCCGCTCGACAGGTAACAATAACACAGTATATCTCACAAGGTCAAGGTCAAGGTCGTAGCTCAAGGTGACCAACTCACAAGGAGATGAATATATTATCACAGCTGTCGAACAATAATCGCCTCAAGCACATGTTGGTCTGTACAAAGTGTTGGTTCACGGTGTACATAATAGGACAAACTGAATTATATTGAAACACACCTAATGAAGATTACCTTGCACTCATTCCCTTGTAAACACTGTAGTGTCAGTTATGTTCTGTTGCTCTGTTGATGGAATAGGTTTCATCCTTCTCAGATTCACTCACTCACACACTCGCTCTCTCATACTCACAAACACACTAACTCTCTGTCTCCCTCTCTCTCACGCACTCACTCACTCACACCCTCTCACATTTACAAAGGAACACTCACTCTCTCTCTTACACACTCTCTCACTCACACACACACAAACACTCTCTCTCTGTCACTATGTCATATACACACTCACACTCTCTCACACCCACACTCTCTCTCACACACCCTCTCTCTCTCACCCACACACTTCAACTAACTTCTTTTGCACTGCGAGGATTATTCGTGTCCCTCACTCTCTCTCATACACACTCTCACTCACACACACCCTCTGACACACACAAACACTCTCTCTTTCTGTTACTTTCTCATATACGCACTCACACTCTCTCACACACCCACACTCTCTGTAACACACCCTCACGCTCCCTCTCTCTCTCACCCACACACTTCAACTTCTTTTGCACTGCGAGGATTATTCCTCCTCTCTCTCTCTCTCTCTAAAACTCTCTCATCATCTCTCCTCTTCTCTCTTTCTCCTCTCTCTCTCTCTCTCTCTCTCTCTCTCTCTGTGATGGCAAAAGAGTTGTCATGAGCTTTTCTTTCCCGTTCTGGTTTCAATCCCACCCACCATTTGTCCCTGATATAGTCGCATCTGGAAAATCCCATAACTCCATCTGTCGTATGAATCCTCATTGATTAGTCACAACTAGTCATTTGCTTGTGTCATCCTTGTTGTAATGACCAGGTCGCATCTGTCAGTTGGTCACACCTCTCCCATAAAACATTCATGTCACGTCTCACCTAACAATACCTGTCATACCGCTGAGTCGGCAGATAATGCATGACCTACAAGCCGCGGCTTACGTTATGCTTTGTACTCCTATTCCTGTATTCAGATTGATTCTGATAACGCAGAACATGTGTCATTATTCAGAGAGAATGTGTCTCATGCCACACGTCTCACATTATATATAAACTTCTTCTTTATTCTATGCACGTTTCTGGGACTTCCCTTGACCCTTCACCTCTTCCTCAAGTGAATGATAAAGCAAGAGTTTGGTTTTACGCCCCTTTTAGCAATATTCCACCAACATGGGCTTCACACAGGTGTTCAAGTGACCGTCGACAGTTGATAGTTTACACTTTTGATAAAGATAATGAAAAAACAATTATATATTCAATACGATACACAGGGCCTTACTGCGAGTGTGCTTGTTTCAGCTCTATCACGTTCATATCGGGATGCGACCCGACAGCTGATGGACAGGTGTTATAGATAACAATGTCACGTGACAAGACACGGCACGTGCTCCACGTGTCGTAACAGTTTTGCCCATGTTGATGGATATCATAATGAAGATGAAGATCGCACTGAGTGAGTGAGTCTAGTTTTACGCCGCACTCAGCAATATTCTAGCTATATGGCGGCGGTCTGTAAATAATCGAGTCTGCACCAGACAATCCAGTGATAAACAGCATGAGCATCGATCTGCGCAATTGACGCATTGAGCAGAGTTTACTATTGTTACCACTACATCGAGGACTTGGGTTTGTTTGACATCGAAAATATAAAGGATATATAGTAAGAGACCGTTCATAATTTATGGCTGGAGAAAAGGTTTTCACAACAAACGAACGTTCATTCAACAAGGGCTATTGGGTAGCCAAGTGGTTAAAGGGCCGGCTTGTAACGGCGAAATGTCTGGTTCGATTGCCAGACGCAAGAGGAAGAGGGGGGTGACTGCTGAAGGGGCAGGGTGTGGAGGTAGATGAGGGAGGGTGCTATAAGCGCCGGGTATGGCGGCTTAGAAAGGGCGCTGTAGATGCCGAGCTTTGGGGTCTTAAAAGCCGAGGCTTGAGGTCTTGAAATCGCGCTGTAGACGCCGAGGGTAGAGGCCTTGAAATGGTAGAAAGGTAGAAGAGAGGCGGTGCTGCAGACGACGGGTATACAGGCCAAGACAGGTCGTTTTACATGCCGCGTGTATAGTAAGTGAGTTTAGTTTTACGCCGCTTTTAGCAATATTCCAGCAATATCACGGCGGGGGACGCCAGCAATGGGCTTAACACAGTGTACCCATGCGGGAAACCGAACCCGGATCTTCGGCGTGACGAGCGAACGCTTTAACCTCTGGGCAACCGCATCGCCCGCCGAGGGTCGAGGACTTCAGACGGCGGGTATAGAAGGCAAGATAGGCTGCTTACGATTTACGCTAGATAAGGGTGTAGATTAGGGTGTAGATAAGGGTGGAATGTATTATCAGTCCCAGAAACCACAAGGTTGTATGTTGTCTGCCAGATGTCACATAGACATAAACTGGGCTAGTCGCTATCACAACGTTATGTCACCGTGTCGCTACGTTGTAGAACATTGCCCCGGTCGCTGTAGTATTGCTGGTTGGAATAGTAATGAGTGAGTATGGTTTCACGCCGCTTTTAGCAATATCACAGCAACATCACGGCGGGGGACACCAGAAATGGGCTTCACAGACTGTAACCTGGGCCTTCGGCGTGACGAGCCAAGGCTGTAACCACTAGGGTACCACGCCACCCCGGCTGGAATAGTTCACATTTTCACTCACGACACCACTCCCGCAAACAATGACCAACAAACACACACTGCATTGGGCCCTAGTGAAGCCTGGTCGAGGGAAGGGGGTGGGAGAGGGGGTACAGGAGAAACAAACACTAAACTGGGCCCTGTGACGCCTGGTCGGGGAAAGGTGGGGTGGGGCTCGGGTGGGGTACAGAAGAAACAAACACTTCACACTGGGCTCCGTTTCACAAAGCTATCGTAGCGCTACGACTGACGTCACTCCTTCACTGTATCGTAGACGTACGACAGTCGTAGCGCTACGACAGCTCAACACAGAGCATGGTTTCGTCGTGCTTTCATGGTGAATGTGTTCGGTTCTCAGTGACTGACTGACTGAGTTTGGTTTTACGCCGCTTTTAGCAATATTCCAGCAATATCACGGCGGGGGACACCAGAAATGGGCTTAACACATTGTGCCCATGTGGGGAATCGAACCCAGGTCTTCGGCGTGACGAGCCAACGCTTTAACCACTAGGCTACCCCACCGCCCCCGGTTCTCAGTGAACGGAAACGTGATGCTATGCGTCTACCCGGTATGAGAAGGGACATGCATCTTACTGGTGCAGCAGCCGCTCGTTTTAATCACAATTTCGTCATGCATCTTTAAGCACAAGCTGGTTTAATGATATCATTCCTCACAATGCAGTGTTTCATATGTTAGACCATTAATTTTTTTAACAGTATCATAGTATTAAACATTATTATAATAACAATATGCTTCACAAAAGTCTCAAATCCGTGGATAAGGGAGGCATTGTAAACGAATCTGGAAGGCTTCGCATTTATATGACTTCTAATCCTTCCGGGTACCCAGCCATTGCAGTAGCATGGTACTAAGGGAGTAACAGCTGGGTTGCATTGTAAACGTATCTAGAAAACTTCGCATTTATATTACCTTCTAATCCTACCGGGTACCCAGTCATTGCAGTAAAATGGTCTATTGGAGTAACAGCAACGAGCTCGGATGTTGGACATGCAATGGAACATAACCAGGTCGAAAAAAGGAATTTGAGCCCACATCAGTGAAACCTGACACAAATAAGGGAAACTCGGTCACTAGGGCTGCTGTAGCCTCGATTAGTCGCCACTGGGCGATTACGACAACCATGGGCTATGGGGACCTATCTTCATCAGCAAAGATCTACATCTACGTGAAATGGTAAACCAGTGTGTCCATCCAATTTACTTTAGACAACTGTTACAGTGTGGGACACTTGCACTTATTAAACCAAAACTGTTATACATTAATTAATGTCAGTTAACTCAGTGTCAGTTTGCAGTCTTATTAATGAAAGATTACTTGCTTGTTTCACATTCACTTCATAGTTATGGTAGACCGACCAGCGAAACGTAGGCGGACTGATTTGTCACTTGTTGACAAAGTGAAACTTTAAGGTTGTCGTTAACAAAGGGAGGTAACTCATCGGGGCATGTCTACGGTAACGGACAAAAGTTGTCTAATCCGGACTGCTTTACAATCCGGACGGATGAGTCGGTCCCATGCCAGTCCGTAATAGATTCCATTGTAGTAAGTGTCCAATGTTCGCCTTGCAGAACGAGGTGACCTCTTATGACCCGGTAATTCTTTCTGTGTCATTGGTTTGCACCTTGAGTTCACAAAGTGTGTTGACACACCTCGTCACAGAACGGAACACGAAGTCTTCAAGAGACGGGCCCCTGTTCAGGATTGCTTGCTTTACAATATATCACTATCACCATTCAGTGACAAAGGAAGGACACTATTAATCTGTACAATCCGACATCCTCTCCCCATATTGGACTAAAATAGCCAGTCAACCTGTCAATGACCAGTTGACAACTAACATCCCATTCTCTTCCCACAGAGGTTACTCCTGTCATATCTTCCTACATAACCTCTGTTCTAATACGACCCTTTCTTGGTGTCAGCGTTCAAGGCTCGTGATTGGAGACAAGCCGATTTAGTTGTGCAATCAGCGACGTTGTTTCAAAAGTGATCATTCGCAAGGCCTCGGTAATTTCCGTATGCTTCGGGAAAACTAGAACCTCTTCCCGAGCGCGATGCGCAAACGTTTCTTCTAGACAGAACTCAGTCATGTAATGGCGTATCAATGGCGTCTCCATCGCCCTCGTTGACAATGGACAAGCTAGCCATTAAACGTCTTGTGTGTAACATCAACACAATTTGTGGCCCCGCATTTGCTTGTGTTAGTCAAATTGAATCTAAGTCGATGTAACACGTGTTCTGATTGGATAGAAAGAAGGGAGATAATTCGTGTTGCGATCTTTTGCCGCTAGGGGATTTTACGAGGACCGGGAAATATGGCCGTATTAGAACAGAGGTTATGTAGGAAGATATGACAGGAGTAACCTCTGTGGGAAGAGTATGCATAACATCCTGGTACTGGTAATCTCTTTGGTCCCAGCACTGAGAACACCCGTGCCTTTGTTTTTACAAGCTGAGCGACCAATGTGAGGACCTAGGTATGTTTTGTCAAGCATAGGATGAATGGGCTGAGAAAAGAGATCAATTAATTTGGTGAGATCAATTACCAATCAGTCAGTGGTGTCAACTTGAATTGTCACTGTCAGCAATAAATAGCTAGCCACACTGTATAATAAATCCAATGATATACATGTACATGTAAATACAGAATTGTTTTTTTCCCAAGAATATATTTACCAAGAAAATAGCTATTAAGCATAAATTTCATGATATAAGCCAGTTACAATGCATGGTACTGTTTGAAAAGTATTCAAGCAAGGAGACATTGAATTATCCGACACTCTGTATAATCCGACATATTTTCCCGGTCCCAGTGAGTGTCGGATTATACAGAGTCCACTGTAAATGATAAAAGACCTACCCGACCAAGCTCCCTTCACCAGAACCTGGAGCCAAGCCTCGTCTCAAACATAGCGTTGTGTAATTCTTCTACGTTATTTAATAGACTACCAGCAGGATGCTGTACAGACATTGCTTATTACACCACATCAATATCCACATACATCTACCGTGAACTCAGTGAAAGCAGAGAAACAAGTTCGGCCTGAGTTGGTTGACTGGGTCGTTGGACACATTTGATATTTGGCCACACAGTGGTTGGGACATCGTTGAGATTGGGGCTTGGGGTGGTTGGGACATCGTTGATATTTGGCCACGTAGTGGTTGGGACATCGTTGAGATTGGGGCTTGGGGTGGTTGGGACATCGTTAATATTAGGCCACGTGGTGGTTGGGACATTGTTAATATTTGGCCACGTAGTGGTTGGGACATCGTTGAGATTGGGGCTTGGGGTGGTTGGGACATCGTTAATATTAGGCCACGTAGTGGTTGGGACATCGTTAATATTTGGCCACGTGGTGGTTGGGACATTGTTAATATTTGGCCACGTAGAAGTTGGGACATCGTTAATATTTGGCCACGTGGTGGTTGGGACATTGTTGATATTTGGCCACGTAGTGGTTGGGACATCGTTTATATTTGGCCACGTATTGATTGGGACATCGTTAATATTTGGCCACGTGGTGGTTGGGACATTGTTGATATTTGGCCACGTAGTGGTTGGGACATCGTCTATATTTGGCCACGTAGTGGTTGGGACATCGTTTATATTTGGTCATGTAGTGATTGGGACATCGTTGATATTTGGCCACGGTATGGTTGGACATCGTTGAGATTGGGCTACGTGGTGGTTGGGACAGACACCGCAGAGACTTGGGCACGTGGTTGTTGGGAAATCGTTGAGATTGCTGTATGTGGTGGTTTGGACATCGTTGAGATTGGAGGATGTGGTGGTTGGAACATCGTTGAGATTGGGCTACGTGGTGGTTGGGACATTGTCGAGATTGTTCCCCGTGGTTGTTGGGACATCGTCGAGATTGGGTTACGTGGTTTGGGGACATCGTTGAGATTGGAGGATGTGGTGGTTGGAACATCGTTGAGATTGGGGCATGTGATAGTTGGGCCATCGTTGAGATTGGAGGATGTGGTAGTTGGGTCATCGTTGAGATTGGGCCACTTGGTGGTTGGAACGGACATCTTTGAGACTGGGTGGCTGGGACATCGTTGAGATTGGGGCTTGGGGTGGTTGGGACATCGTTGAGATTGGGACGTGGGGTGGTTGGAAAATCGTTGATATTTGGCCACGTAATGTTTGGGACATCCTTTAGATCTAGCCACGTTGAGACTGGGAAACGGGCTATGGTTGCGCGGAGATAAAGCCGTGAGTTCCGTTCTGAGGAGTTAGCGATAATGTTGTTTAACGCCGCAGACAAACATATTCAAGCAAAGCCTTCCAGCTTAGCACATTGCGGCAAACCAGAGATTAAAAACATGCACATAGTGCCACATAATGTGGGGTTATAGAGAATTGTATTAAGCCTCACAATGGGCCCCAAGACACAGATGAAATGTGCCAGGGAATGTTCGACAGGGCGACCCTAACGCCATGGCGATGGTAAGCCTACGATTAAGTATGAGGGCTACAACCACCTCACCCTCAGATCGTCTTGGAAGACGGGGCTCAGGTACAAATGTTCAGCAACATTATAGTGCCAGTTGAGACTCTTACCTGGAGATGATTCAAGGGCAGTATCACAACACAATATATGGACGTCCCGGGTTATCTCCTCTGATGGCGATCTACGCCGGCAGATTTTACTATGCGTAGTACAAGTTGTGTGAAAGTGTGTGCCGAGCGTTCAGCTGATAGTCACGTGCCAGCCATGTGATGCGCTCACTCAATATTTCCGGGTAGACCCGGCTTCTTGCTACTCATTGTGAATGGATAGCTACGGGCTACGGGCCAAGGTCTACCGGTTCGGATGACGCATTGTGACAGCTACCGTGTCGCGGCGTCTCGCATAATATACACTATAGACAAATCCTACTTGGCCACAGCATAAGTGACATCAAGGTAGACAGTTCCACATTATATAGCTCTCGCATTAGTGACATCAAGGTAGATAGTTTCACATTATATAGCTCTCGCATTAGTGACATCAAGGTAGACAGTTCCACATTATATAGCTCTCGCATTAGTGGCATCAAGGTAGATAGTTTAACATACTATACTTCTCACGAACCTGACATCGAGGTAGACAGTTCCACATTCTATAGTTCTCACATACCTGCCATCAAGGTAGAAAGTTTCAAATTTTATAGTTCCCGTATAACCCATATGAAGGTATATCTTTTCACATTCTATAGTTCTCGAATAAATGACATCAAGGTGGATAGGTTCACATTCTATAGTCATCATATACCTGACATCATGGAAGACAGTCTCACAAATACTATAGTTCTCATATACCTGGCATCAAGGTAGACAATCTCGCATTCTATAGTCCTCGCATACCTGCCATCAGGGTAGACAGTTCCACATTCGACATCCTAGCCACTGGTAGCCTAGTGGTTAAAGCGTCCGCTCGTCAGACCGAAGACTCGGGTTCGATTTCCCATATGGGTACAATGTGTGAAGCCCATATTTGGTGTCCCCCGCCGTGCTAATGCAGGGATGTTGCTTAAAGCGGCGTAAAACCATACTCACTCACTCATCTCAGTGCTACTCTTCTTCATTTTAAATTTTTGTTTGCTAGTGTCAAACCTAGACATTTTCACAGTAAGTGTTAGCCCACAGTGCCAACTCAAACATGCTTCGGTGTATGGCGATATAGACACGTTGAGATACACCACTGACGAGTATTTCACATCAACAAACACGTGACCCAGTGCACAACAGCTGCAGAGTATTCAAGGTCAAGGTTGGCATAGTTAAAATTGTAACTTCAGAACTCAAGAACGTTACCAAGTAGCAAAGATGTCAAATTAAAATTGACGAGAACAGGTGTGACTGCTGGCCGGTTTATATGCAGGAATGTACGGCTTATATAGCAGAACTTTCGTACATCTACTGTTGATGGGAGGGTGCGGTAACCTTGTGGTTAAAGTGTTCGCTCCCCTCGCACAGGTTCTGATCCCAACATGCGTACAATGTTAGAAACCCATTTCTGGTGTCCCCGGTTGTCTTATTGTTGGGGGCGGTGGGTAGCCTAGTGGTTAAAGCGTTCGCTCGTCACGCCAAAGACCCTGGTTCGATTCCCCACATGTGTACAATGTGTGAAGCCCATTTCTGGTGTTCCCCGCCGTGATATTGCTGGAATATTGAAAAAGCGGTGTAAAACTAAACTCACTCTACTGTTAAGACCGTTTCTCAGAAAAACTGGCTGAATTGCAACCAGATTTCAAACGAACAAACTACAGAGACATATGACGTGTTCTAAACCAGCAAAGATGTTGGTTAATAACCCTGACTTATGGTCTTATTAAGCTGTATAGAACAGTATCAACGTGCTCACATCATCGGCAGATTGCATATCCGGGTTAGAACTGGTCTTCAGCAAGCCATGGCTGTCCTATGGGGTGACTAACGGGATCGGGTGGTCAGGCTCGCTGACTTGGTTGACACATGTCATCGCATCCAAATTGTACAGATCGATGCTCATGCCGTTGATCACAGGATTGTCTGATCCAGACTGGATTATTTACAGACCGTCGCCATATAGCTGGAATATTGCTGAGTGCGGCGTTACACAATAATCCAACCCAGCAGATGTGCGTTATCGGTGGTTAGCAACAAAGTACATGTTATCACAAGGGGATGGTATTTAATCACTGGCATGACAATGTATCTGGCAGATGTAATATTTTACAACTGTTTGCCAATACTTGACATCGTCGCTATTTGAAGGTGATTAATAACACCTGTATATGCTGAATCGAAACTTGGACTTTGCATTTAGTAAACAGTTCTTATGCTTATGCATAGGGTTTGAGGTTTCGTGCTGTTACACGTTATATGCTGTTACACGTTATATGCTGTTACACGTTATATGCTGCTACACGTTATATGCTGTTACACGTTATATGCTGTTACACGTTATATGCTGTTACACGTTATATGCTGTTACACGTTATATGCTGCTACACGTTATATGCTGTTACACGTTATATGCTGTTACACGTTATATGCTGTTACACGTTATATGCTGCTACACGTTATATGCTGTTACACGTTATATGCTGCTACGTTATATGCTGTTACACGTTATATGCTGCTACACGTTATATGCTGTTACACGTTATATGCTGCTACACGTTATATGCTGTTACACGTTATATGCTGCTACACGTTATATGCTGCTACACGTTATATGCTGTTACACGTTATATGCTGTTACACGTTATATGCTGTTACACGTTATATGCTGTTACACGTTATATGCTGCTACACGTTATATGCTGCTACACGTTATATGCTGCTACACGTTATATGCTGTTACACGTTATATGCTGCTACACGTTATATGCTGCTACACGTTATATGCTGTTACACGTTATATGCTGTTACACGTTATATGCTGCTACACGTTATATGCTGTTACACGTTATATGCTGTTACACGTTATATGCTGTTACACGTTATATGCTGCTACACGTTATATGCTGCTACACGTTATATGCTGCTACACGTTATATGCTGTTACGTTATATGCTGCTACACGTTATATGCTGCTACACGTTATATGCTGTTACACGTTATATGCTGCTACACGTTATATGCTGCTACACGTTATATGCTGTTACACGTTATATGCTGTTACACGTTATATGCTGTTACACGTTATATGCTGCTACACGTTATATGCTGCTACACGTTATATGCTGTTACACGTTATATGCTGCTACACGTTATATGCTGCTACACGTTATATGCTGCTACACGTTATATGCTGTTACACGTTATATGCTGTTACACGTTATATGCTGTTACACGTTATATGCTGTTACACGTTATATGCTGTTACACGTTATATGCTGCTAGGGAACAATTACAGGAAATACATGTCAGCATTATGGGGGCGGTGGGGTAGCGGAGTAGTTAAATGGTTCGCTCGTCACGCCGAAGAACCGGGGTCGATTTCCCACATGGGTACATGTCTTAAGCCCATTTCTGGTGTCCCTTGTCGTGATACTGTGGAATATTGCTAAATGCGGCGTAAAACTAAACTCACTCATGTTAATATGGTGTGACAGGAAGACGAGTCAACATAGGAGTGAGTGAGTTTAGGTTTACGCCGCACACAGCAATATGGCGGCGGTCTGTAAATAAGCGAGTTTGGACCAGACAATCCAGAGATCAACAGCATGAACATCGATCTGCGCAATTGGGAACCGATGACATGTGTCAACCCAGTCAGTGAGCCTGACCACCCGATCCCGTTAGTCGCCTCTTACGACAAGCATGGGTTACAGAAGGTTTATTCTATCGAGGACCTTCATGTGTTAAATATATTGTGAAGGCAATGGGAATTCACTTAAGGTACGCACAAAGGTCAATGAAACTACAATGAAAATATATTCTTTTGGCAATGGAATTCACTTAATGTACGCACTACAAGCAATAATACTACAATGAAAATATATTTTAAAGGCAATAGAACTTCTAAGGTACGCACTATGGACTGTAAAACTACAATGAAAACATATACAGAAGGCAGTGGAACTTCTCTCAAGATGTACTCTTAGGCAATGAAACTGCACTGAAGTGATGCTTTGACGACTGCAGAACTTCATCGATAAGATATGCTTTATGGGTAATGAAAAGGTATGCTTTGAGGGCTATGGAACTACCTTGAAGGTATGCAGTGGATCTACAAAGTATCCTGTACAGATTATAACGATACTGTCACTTACCTGTCTTGCCGGTGAAGGTAATTCAGATTGTAACGACACAATGACACCTACCTGTAAGGTAATTCCCGAGATGTGAGGCCTGGTGTAGCATGTACTCACAGCCTAGGACAATCAGTGAGTTCCCAAGCGACCTGGGAGCCTTGACATACAAGTGTACAATACCCGTCAGCTGGCTATCAGCTGGGACAGCACACGTGGCTTCAGATACTAGCTACATCAGCTGAACTGGGACGGGTGGGAGACAAGCCGCACAGGCGCCGGGGGTAGAGAGAATTGGTAGGTCGTGACTTACCCACAGTATCCGGCTGCATCTGGTTCTGACAGGGTGTAGAAATGGTAGGGGTGGGGGACAAGCTGTACATGCGTCAGGGGTAGGGAGGGGGGATGGGTGGTGACATACCCATACCGTCTGGCTGCATCTGGCTGCATCAGATTTGTCAGCTAAACTGGTACACATTGCGACACGCAGATACATAATGAGTGAGTTTAGTTTTACGCCGCTTTTAGCAATATTCCAGCAATATCACTGCGGGGGGACACCAGAAATGGGCTTCATATATTGAATCAAAATCGGGTCTTCGGCGTGTCGGGCGAACGCTTTCACCACTAGGCTAGCCAACCACCCCTACAGACACATAAAGACGTGATGGCTAGACCACTGTGTTAGCAGTGACATGGCGTGTCGGTTCAGTAGTAGGACAAGAGAGGGTAACGCACGTCGTAGACGCTTGTTGTCTCAGGTGCAATCATGAAAACACGGCTATGTTTCGAACATAACTACCGTTTTCAGGGAGTATCTATAACGCGAACTCATTCCAGCTGATCGTGACACTGCTAGGGGAGGTAATTCAACCACAGTCCAACGTGTTGTCGACTGTGAAATGGGTGTTATCTGGGTGCTTGTTGACAGATAACACTGATGTACTACTGACACTAAGGAGGAAAAATGCC